ATTTTTCTTTTATCAAAAGTTCCCTTACTTAATTAATCATCAAATCATCCATCCCCCCCCCCCCCCCCCCCCCCCCCCCCCCCTTTTCCTCTAATGCCAGGAACCTAGTCCGATGCATCGGTATGTGCCGGTATTTCTCTATTGGGTAGGTGAAGGGTACAGGGTATCTCCCCGGAAACTAATTTAGTCCAGCTCGGGACGGTTCGCGACCGGTCCTTTTTTCGTATTTTTCGTACTCTATACGTAAATCTCCCTATTCGCTCCTTTTTGCAGCTGTCCTTCGCGATATCTCGCTTCACCATGGAAAACGCGTAAGGCGATGCTATTGCCAAGTTTAATAGCGGAGAATAACGGACAATAACCCCATTGACAGCTTAGAGGTTGAAATGCTACGTTGATGATGTAGTTAGAATCCGTCAAATATAAGTTTAGTCTCGACCCTTCGGACGTTGTTAGTTATATTATAAGAGTAGAGCAGTAACCCGACCTTTCTAAGGTGATTCTAAGCAACATCCCTTAGTCTACGAGCGTATGTGCTCATACTACCGTAAAGATGACTGATATACTAGCTAACCACAGTTGTACGGCGTCTACTTTCTCGACACCAACACTCTTCGGTGCTGAAATCCTCTCCGTGGATACCAACCTGGTCAAGAATTACAGCTTCGATGTGCCGACAGGTTGGCGATATACTCAGCCTTCCGTCAATGTGGAAAATGTCACGTTCTGCAATATTACGGTCACTTATACACATCCAGGGCTGAATGACACCATCAATGTTGAGACTTGGCTGCCCGTGAACGGCTGGAATGAGAGGCTATACGCGGCAGGAGGCGGAGGATGGATAGCTGGTCGCTTTGTACTTTCATACGGACCCATGGCTGCCGCCATTCAGGAAGGGTACGCCGCTGTAACGTCAGATGCTGGGGTCGGAAGTTCCCCGTCTGCAGGAAGTTCTCTGTCTGCAGAATGGGCTCTCATCAGCCCCGGAAACCTGAATCTGATTGCGTTCGATGATCTTGGGCATGTTACTCTAAATGACGCTGTAAGTGGATGAGACATATCGGATCGACTCTTGCCATACATTTCGTTGATACTAATGCCACGCATAGGCTATCATTGCCAAAGACTTAATAGAGAGTTACTATGGTCAAGCTCCATCTTATTCTTACTGGAACGGGTGTTCTCAGGGTGGCCGACAGGCCAGTGTTCTCGCTCAACAATATCCTACAGCTTACGATGGAATCATAGCCGCGGCGCCCGCGCTGTTCTGGGCAGAGTTAATGACAAGCTCGGTTTGGCCAGCATTTTATATGGACTCTACGAAGCAATATCCGCATTCATGCGAGTTGACAGAGTTAACGTCCCTTGCAATCTCTGTGTGCGACGAACTGGATGACGTGAAAGATGGTCTTATCGCAGAACCAGAGGAATGCCGACAAAAGTTTTCTCCATCTGACTATATCGGAACTGTCTTCAACTGCTCGGACACCGCAACGAACATGAAAATTAGCCCTGCTGCAGTAGCTGTTGCCAACGCCGCGTGGGATGGTCCCAGCTTCTCCAATGGTGATTTCATGTGGTATGGATATGAAATCGGATCCGACCTGACAACAATTGCCGCAACAACCTGTGATGAGAATGGACAGTGTATCCCCGACGGCAGAGAACAGCTCCACACAATGTATCAAGGCTTTATTCTAAGGGATCCGTCTACCAATCTTACGGAGGTCACGCACAAGCAGTTCGATTATATGTTTCGCACCTTACAACGAATATTCAGTTCGTCCATGGCTGCAACCGACCCTGATCTCTCAGACTTCAAAAATGCGGGCGGTAAGATGATCACATACCACGGCCTGGTAAGTACCTATCCCTTTCTATATACACTTCAGTCCCGACAAATACTAATCTAAAAAACAGGCTGACGAAAAAATCACACCGGCCGGCACGCTAGATTATTACAAGCAAGTAATGAAATTAGACAACGGAACTTCTGATTTCTTCCGTTACTATCGCATCCCCGGACTGGCGCATTGTTGGGGAGGCGCCGGAGGCCAGCCTGAGAGCTTGTTCGACCAGCTGCGGATGTGGGTAGAGAATGGAACGGCCCCCGAGGCAAGCCCCGTCAGAATACAACAGTCAGGCAACACGACGAGGGAGGAGATCATATGCCCGTATCCTAAGAAGGCGACTTTCGAGAAGGCTTGTACGAAGTCGACTTCTACTGCAGCATGCTGGTCGTGTAAATAAGCACATTGAGGAGGGTAATCAATCGATAGACTCTAGTCCGTAGAGAGAGATATCAAGGATGTAAAGTTACTTTATGTATCAGGATAATATAGAAGATAGTTTGACTTTACTCAATAATATTCTCAAGTCAGTCGAAGTTTACAGTTCTACACGTGGTGAAGGGACTAATACTACGCATCACGAAGCCAGAACTAAAATATGTCGTCTATCGAAGAATAAAATGCTCTCCAGAACATCAGATCCTTGCAGCAAGATGCAAGGATTTGCTTATATCTATGAAGAAGAAAGTATCTGATCATGTACTGAGGCATGATATAATTTGGCAGGCCACCAGATAAAATCGTGACTCTTGTATCAATCGTGACAGGATGTTTTCCATGTAATGTAATTGAGCAATCTTATTATTGCTCTAGTTTTATAACATGACTTTTATACAGTATTTTAGCCTCTGGCTGTTTGAAAAGGATCATATTAATGGATGCTTTATTTGTGGCTTTGTTTGTGTAGAAAAGGGGTATAAACAGAAAAGGGGCAATACAAATTTACACGTGACTTAATCTGACTTGCTGATAAGGCACTTGCTGATAAGGCTCTTACTGATAAGGCACCTGGACATCTCTAAAGTCCGGGATAACAGTAACGCCGGCCCCCAGCCGAGGATCCATTGCAGGTGGACGGTGCTCAACCTCGAGATTCGGACGTTGACGGCGCCCGATCCTTGCGCAAGACCCCCATCTCAACCAAATTCCAAATTCCCTATCACGAAAGTGACACGGGATTGCGCCTCGGACAAAAGATTAGGTGCTTAACGAATATTAACGAATAAATTGGGAGACTCAACCAAGTCTACAATTTGACGGTCCGTTAACCAGACCTGGCCCAGGCCTAAGCTTGGACGAATTTAGTGACGAACCCAGTGACGCACGGCCAAACTTGACTCTACCAGTCTACCTATTGGAAACCTGGTCCTTCAACCGTCTTCGACCTTTGTTATGTTACAATAAACATAAACGCGAATATTATACATTCTCCCCTGCAAATTCTAACTCCAATCTGGTTCTTCAAATCCGATTTCCAGCTTTGAAAGCAATTCGATAAGTTTATATTACGGAATCCTTTCGCGGGCGCCTTTTTTATAGTATACAGTTCCCATTGCGCTCAGTCCCATTGGTCCTGTAGCCACAGGTATCCAAATTGCTTGCAGTAGATCGATCCTATCTATAGGCCAGAGTGCCAAAGTGCCAAAGGCGTATATATCCATATCCACGACAAGGCAATAATGGTTTCTCCACGTGTTGCGGTCCCTAAACCGGGACCGGCAAAGCTGACACCTGGTGCGGGCTTGGACGAATGGCTCGAGCAAGCTAAGCAATGTCGTTATCTACCGGAGCCAGTCATGAAAGAGCTTTGCGAAATGGTTAAGGAAGTCTTAATGGAAGGTATGCTCGTTTTGCTTTCATAACCTTTCATAACCCGACAACAGATGGCAGACGGCAGATGGGAGATGGCAGATTCAATCTAACTCCTGTGGATTTTAGAATCAAATATTCAACCCGTAATCACCCCAGTTACTATTTGTGGTGATATCCATGGTCAATTCTACGATTTGCTCGAGCTTTTTCGCGTTAGTGGCGGCATGCCAGGCCAACCTGCGACAGAAGCCCCCGCAACCTCCACTTCTGTCATCACATCAGCCGATATCGAGCCTCCGACCGAGATCACAAATCCAAAGCTGAAGAAAAAGATAAAGAAGCCAAAAACCACGACTGGAGGAGATGTTCCGGGACTGCCTAGTGACGAATCTACAAATGTGGAAGAGGAGGAAGAAGAAGGAAACGATCCTGGCCAGCGCAGTTCCTCAGACTCTGCGTCCCCAGTCGTAAATGCTGATACCCGTTTTGTGTTCTTGGGCGATTTTGTGGACCGAGGATACTTTAGTCTCGAGACATTTACACTACTCATGTGTCTAAAGGCCAAGTAAGGAGTTCCCGCATAGTATTATATGACATGGCCTTTATTCTAACACGTATCAGGTATCCGGATCGAATTGTCCTCGTCCGTGGAAATCACGAGTCTCGTCAGATCACTCAGGTATATGGGTTTTACGAAGAGTGCCAACAAAAATACGGAAACGCGTCTGTTTGGAAGTCTTGCTGTCAAGTCTTTGATTTCCTGGTACTAGCAGCTATTGTGGATGGTGAAATACTTTGTGTTCATGGAGGTCTGAGCCCCGAAATCCGCACCATTGACCAGATCCGTGTGGTGGCCCGAGCACAGGAGATCCCACATGAGGGCGCGTTCTGTGATCTTGTCTGGAGCGATCCTGAAGAAGTCGAGACTTGGGCTATCAGCCCGCGAGGCGCAGGATGGCTTTTTGGTGACAAGGTGGCGACCGAGTTCAACCATGTCAATGGATTGAAATTGATCGCTCGTGCTCACCAGCTTGTTAACGAAGGTTACAAGGTAAGGCTTCTTTATCTAGGTACATATTCATGGGTTTGGAATATATGCTAACGGATGGAATAGTATCACTTCCCACAAAACTCGGTTGTTACAGTCTGGTCAGCGCCAAACTACTGCTATCGCTGTGGAAATGTGGCTTCTATCATGTCAGTTGATAAGAACCTGGACCCGAAGTTTAGCATATTCTCGGCTGTGCCTGATGATATGAGGCATGTTCCTGCGGGACGACGCGGACCATCTGATTACTTCTTATGATGATGCACTATACATGAGCACTATACATGAGTTACAAAAACCCTTCGCAGAATTTTGAAGTTCTTGATACCACCACAAAGGCGTTATAGGGGAGAGGATTTTTCACGTCGTTTCATGCAGCATGAAGGACTGGTGAACGGGGACCAAAGGGTATAGACAACAAGGCCCGGGCATGTATGATGGTAAGGATGGATAAGGGGGTCGACCATGGAAATGTAGCACCGTATTTCACGGTAGCGTTATGATCTGTATAGTAGGACTTTGGAATCACTGTCCGTTACGTAGCGGGCGAAGAGAGTTAAAGGTGACCTTCGAACCCTGAGTTAACACGATATGAATTTTGCTTTATGGAGTTGTTTGCCTATACTTAATGCTGCTATAACTTGACTTCCAAGATAACCAAACTGATTTATATGAGTATTCATTTATATAAGTTACTGGCTGAGCTCTTAAATTTGGAAGGATATCTTGATCATCTAGGTACCCAGGTACGTACCTAGGTAGGTATATAGTAGATAAGGACCTAAGGTGGATAGTTGCATGTATTGTCTCTTGAAAGTTGAAACCAGCAGTGACGTTAGGGTAAAGTGGATAGTGAGGGGTTCTAGGTTTGTAGGTCAGGTAGATACTAAGGTACCCCAACTATTCCGTACTCAAATCTGAAGTCTCCAATTTCCAATCTCCAATCGGACCCCTCCATTTCCATCTACGCGCCGCAGCGCGTCTACCACCATTTCCAGGGAAATAATTAATTCCATTACCACATATCTACCTACCGAGGTACCTAACATAGGTAGCAACTAGAACACAAAGGCTTCATCTAAACCGAAGAAGGGGGCAAAGAAACCAGTAGTTAAACCATCAATTACTGTCGCTGTTTATTTGACAATGGCATCCAACCAGCACTCACTTCAGCGCTCGACAACGCCGGCTGGAACCCGCGAGAAGACCTACTTCGAACAGCAGCGGGAGGCGCTGATTGGTGAGATAGCTATGGTACGTATCCTACCTCCCTATATACAAGTTACTAAAGCATATAACTATAATATGTAGGTATGAACTAGCTAACCACCCCCCTTTCGCAGAGCTTCGAGCACGTCCTCGCCAACATTAACAAGCTAAACCGGTCTCTCGAGGCCGTAGTCGCCGTTGGCAACGAGTTCTCGTCCGTCGAGGCGCTGTGGTCGCAGTTCGAAGGCGTCATGGCGAAGGATCCCGAGGAGGGTACACCCGAGGGCGAGGGGCAAGGACAACAGGATCGGAACGAGAACGAGGGCGGTGAATCAGCAGCAGCGGCTAGAAAAAGCTAAGAAATAAAATAAAATAAAATAAAATAACGGAGTTTACTGCTGAGTACAAATCACGAAGATGAGGGGATAATGACCACGTATAGGATTAGGGAAATGGGTGATGATTTATCATGACGATACCCGCCATGGCTATACCTAGCCACGGCATGCTACAGGAACATATTACATATCACAAATCACGAATTACACAATCACAAGGCAGACACAAGTCAAAGAGTTATTATGAATTTCTTTATTTCCTATCCCATGCCATGTCAAGTCAAGAAGAACTGGCGCAACAAAAGGAAAAGATCCCTCGGTATAACATGAATGGTGATGATACACTCGTTTTCAGGTCCAATCCTTCCTGCCTGCCTGATTCCCTTCCTCCCTCCCTCCTCGGCGAATAACTGGCGAAACGGGGGCTTATCTTCTTCTTCTCGTCCCTTCATTCTTTCTTCCATCCCTCCTCCCTTCATCTCAAAGAAAATATAATGCGCCGGCCGCATCAGCTTTATTCGCAGAAATGACCAAGCCGACCAGCTAGCCAGCCAGCCGGGCCGAGACGACTACGACGTCGAGAAAAAACACCATTGCCCTCCTTAACCCTAGTCATTAGACCCTATACTTAAAGGGAATAGTTTCGCAGGAACGCCGTGGTCGAAGAATCTTGTATGCAAGAACTCCCCCTCTCCTTCTCTTCTAAGGAAAACGAAGAAGAAAAGAAAAGATGATGATGAAAAAAAAAGTAAAAATAAAAAAAATAAAAACGGCGATCCCTACCTATCCTTCCCGCTATCGTAACAAGAAGCGTCGTTGAGAAAGTGAACAAAATAAAAATAAACAATATGATGTCATGCAAAAGTTGATCATTAGCCGGACTTTTTGTGTTTCCGTCGTCGTATTCCATCCAGATGCCCACTCAGCGTTCGTAAGTAAGAATTGCTACCTCGTCGCCCCTCACAAGAAGTTGCAGTTCCGCTTCTTCTTCTTAAAAGTGCGGATCCCGGGGATCCCGCCGCTGTCTCGTCCCCTGCCCGAGGCGCTACTATCGCCGCCAACGGACGAGGGAGCCGCAGCCATCGCCACCTCGAGGTTACGCCGGTCGTTGGCCACTACGGTCTGGATCGCCTTATCGAAGATCTCGTCCACGCCCGTCATCTCCTTGCTGCTGCACTCCATGTACTGGGCGCCCATCTTCTTGGCGACCGCCATGCCCTGCTCGGTGGTGACAGGCGTAAGGCCTTGCGTCTTGAGCATCTCGATACAGGTCTTCTTGTTCCGCAGGTCAGATTTCAGTCCGACGAGTATGAGAGGTGTGTAAGGACAGAAGTGGAGAACCTCGGGGTACCACTATATTATTATATATTAATATCTATCGTTAAGGGGGCGATGGGGGAACGTTTGGAGACTAACCTTGTCGAGGACATTGTCTAAGGAGTTGGGACAGTCGATGGCGAAGCAAACAAATATTAAGTCCGTCTCTGGGTACGACAGCGGCCGCAGCCTATCGTATTCTTCTTGGCCGGCGGTATCCCACAGCGCAAGCTCGACGGTCTTACCACTCGGTTGGTGAGTCGGGTATGTGATGTAATTTTCGAAGACGGTCGGGACATATTTCTAGACCAACGTTAGCTTCCGAGAGAAGTGGTGATTAATTCCCTCGTGGGGGGTGGAACCAAGGCTATGTATGATAAGGCTATCTATCACATCACCTATATATAAATATATATCTTACCTCGGGGAAATATCCTTGACTGTAGCTGATTAGGAGACACGTCTTTCCGCAGCCGCCGTCGCCGACTACCACGATCTTCTTGGAGTATGCGGGTGCGTCTGTGACGTGCGTCCCCGACGATTCTCTACCCGTCGACGCGCTCATGACTGTGCTGACTGTGCCTTCGCTGGACCGCGTGTTACGCCCTTCTTTGCCCGTCGGCCGTCTCTGAACACCATTATCGTACTTCTCGCTCGCAGGTTGGCTGCCGTACTGGGAATTGCGATATTGGTAGTTAGCCATGCCGGTGCGCCGTGGCAAGTAATTTCGTGCAAAGTAGCTTTTTTTTTTTCTTTTCTTCTGACCAGGATGTATATGTTGGCTAATTTATCCTATTAAGTCACGCAGCCCTCTTTTAACCCCGTTGATTAGGCGAATACAATGTAGAGGTGTTTCGGCGGGCCGAACAATGGAGAGGATTAATAGATGGGATGGAATGGAGGTGAGACTTTTTTTTTTTGTGTGATCGAAGTCTGGATTCGAGGACTTGTTTGTTGAAAAAGGGCAGGAACGGGATTGTCATGCAGAGCTACGAGCAGGTTGGTTTGGGGGGCAGATTGTGGATGTCTGAGGCTGAGTTAGTCGCAATGGTTGGTTGATCGGGCTCATGCATTTCGTCAGACGTCAATAGAAAGGTCAATTAGCGCGTCGACAGGGCAACGATTTACTCCACTCATCATAGTTTCACCGTTTCAGCTTGCATAAGTCCAGCCCCACCTTCCAATCAAGGCAAATAAGCCAATTAGATGCGCTAATATGCTTAGTGGCATTAACTTATCCCTGCTTATCCAGCTTCCTTGGAAGTTTGTGCATTTTTGATGCCCGACTTTTCCACTTTATAAAACCCAGCCACTTCTGCCACTGCGGCCCCCACCTGTCCCACCAAGTTTTGAGGCGTTTGAAGCTCCACGCTAAGGTTATCTCGTACTCAAAAAATTCTTTTTACCAGCCGCCTCTTATTCTTCTTTTCATCCAACTCATCTACTTGCATTGCCAAGCTGCAAGCAAACCCCCCCAAGAACTTTGCGGAATATCTCTCAAGATGGCCACCAGCAGTTTCAGTCCGCACAAATTCGTAACTCTAGTCTCCAGTGATGGCTTCGAGTTCGTGGTGCTTCGGGAGGCAGCCCTTGTCAGCCCTGCGATAAAGAGCATGCTGGATCCGAAGAGTATAGCAAATCCCTCTTGGTAACGAATCTTGATCCCCGGGAAAAGGACTTACAAGTGTTAGGCCAATTCGCCGAGGCACGAAGCGGTCGATGTGTCTTCGAAGAGATCAAGTAAGTCGATAATCCCGGTTATTATCTCGTACACTTTTATTCGCCTTCATATGCATCGTCAGTGATGAATCAAAATATTTCGCTGTGTTCTTACTGACGGACCGTCAATATGGTCTGAATGACAGCCAACTACACTTGATCTGAGACACTTGTTCCTGCAACTACCCATCAACTGCCATGTTTCATCACATGCTATTTTCAAACCCCGGGACTGACCTCGCCTCATAGCGGAATGGTGCTCGAGAAGGTAGTCGAGTACTTCCACTACTGGTACAAAAACCGACAGAGAGAAGACGTCCCGGATATGGAAATCCCTGTAGAACTCTGCCTCGAGCTCTTGATGGCTGCGGACTACTTGGGACTCGACAGTAAGGACACTAGCTGCTCCATCCGCTACAACTGAAAGCTCACCACTCATGTTTCCCTTACCTGCAGAGCCGACCTAGGTTGTCAACCAACTAGATGAGAGTCGACTGCATCAAGTTTGGGCAGTATGTTACTGGATATGGGACGGGGCCGGCGTTTACTGGCATTATGATACCACCACACAACCATTACAATAATGTTTATTTAAGCCCAGGTAGAGGTAATGACTGACGAAGACTGAATGAAATTGGATATTCGTAACTAAACTCACTCTTCGATAAGATGAATGAAAAGGTAAGTCCAGCGTAGGGAGAGCAAAGCCTCTCAGCCAAAATAACCCATCTAAGCATATGCGTTCAACTCTTAACTCTTCCGTGGGTTGAATGTCTATATCGGATGGGAGATTAGTATCATCCCCCGTCACTCTGCGTGGCTCGTGTTTCTCTGTAGAGACCATGCTTTTTAGGAGGGGATACATCTCTATTAGACTTACTAGACTAGTAAAATTACATTTTCCAATAAAAATTCATTCATACCAATCGATCGTTTGTGCGTATTTATTTAACTTATTTTCCCGCGTAGATAATAATACTACTACTACCGCCTAGGACACTTCATAATTTGAGGCCTACGAATACATCTTCCTTGAAAATCGGACCCTTTTGAGTAAGCTAAGTCGCGACGAAGATATATATATAATATAAATCTCCTCATCCGTAATGATCCAGGCATTTTTGCGGACAGATATTTACGTGATCTAGCATCATTTCTTCCCCCCACCCCGGGGACCTCCTCGGCCACCACCTCGACCTCTACCCCGTCCTCCTCTATTGAAACCACCTCTATGGCCACCACCTCTTCCTCCTTTAGACCCCCCACCGCCACCGCCCTGATTGACCCTTGGTGCTACAGGCGCCGGCCCTTTCTCCTTTCGCTCTGCCCGTTCCTCCGGGCTCGCGTCCCAGAGATTCGGCACACCGACCAACTCGCAAAAAGCCGTGGTCTGAGGGTTCGTGTATTCGTCCGGCTGGTAGTTGACCGTCTGGGGGTCGACTCCTGGCCGGTGTGGCGGAGCGGTGAGAGTAAAGTTCTTAGGTACGTCTAGCTTACCGGTGCGGACTATATTTTCCTCTACCCAGCTGCGCTCCTGATCTATCATAGGTCGATATACCGCTTCACCCAAGTCCGGGGGTGTTTGAGCGGTAGGGTCGCCTATGGTTAGATGTGGTGCAAAAACACGCGTTATAGCAAGCCACTCTGGATCGTATTGTAGACGGTAGCGTTGTTTTCGATTAGTCGATGGTGGATATGTAGTTAGGTTTGAGGGGTCAACTGGCGTCAGGGAGCAAAGTTGGACAAACTTGCGGCCTGGTAGACATTTGTCTAAGGCGAGGAAGCGAGTAGTGGTATTTGTTATCGTGGGTGGGACAGGCTGCCCGGGAATGACCTTGGGTTCGGAGGGTGCCGGTCCGGCAAACGATGCCGGGAGCTGTGCACGAAGTTCATCAGGTACTCCGCTTACCGCGTTTCTGATCATGGTTAGCGTAGAGTCGGCCACATCGGCGGATTTAGTTGGAGGGTGGCCGTCTTCGTCATCCTCCATATCCAAGTCGATCTCATCAGGGTTTGCGGTAGCTTCTTCCGAGGCGGCCGGTGCAGCTTCTTCCTGCTTTGCTGCCAGTTCATTGGAAGGTGCCTCGGCGTCGTTTGGAGGTTCATATGTTTTGACAGCAGCATATTTGCAGTGCAGGTGTGCAGAGAACCAGTACGCCGGCCTCAGTCTATCCATGACGTATGTAGCTGCCGGATTCCCTAGAGTTCCGTCTTGGCTCTCCTGTTTGAAATCAGGCTTCATCTTCCATAATGCAGAGGAATTGCCATGTTTCTCTATTTCCCTTGGCCAATCATGGCTCAATCCAACATCGACTTGCTCCCGGAGCAACAAGAGCTTGCGCACGTCGAACTCACGTACGTGATAAAAGCTCTTGATATCGTCCTGGTTAAAGGGTAAGCGCTCGTGATGCGGCTTGCGGTAATCGTAGCCCTTCCAAATACCGCTCATGGCGGCGATGCGTAGGGGGCCAAAGCGCAGCACGTTAGCGGCTCCCATATAATACATATTTGGCGCGACCCAACCACCATAGTACAGTTCCCACAAGTACGAGCTGGCCTCGTGATTCCCAGCGATGAATATGGTCAAGTATGGTGCCTTCTTTTCACCGCTGTAGTATGCCGGGAAGTCCCCAAGCTGGCGATACTTGGGCGGCACCGCCATGACCGAGAGATCTGCTGCATTGCGAGTAGACTGCACCGCTTGTTAATCTTTACCGACCAAGATTTGTATTATGCGAGGCTTAGAATTGGATGATATATTACCTGGAAATCACCTCCAATGATGAGAAGATCTACGCCATCCCATCCTCTATGCTTAGAAGAAGCGGCCACAGAGGAATAGATGGCATCGAGTGTGCCATGACCCTACACGGTTATAAAATTAGATTTGCATATATTATAGTCTAGCTATTGGGGTAAACTTACGCAGCCCTCAAAAGCAATTCGGACACCGTCTTCTTCGTGCGTATTACTCTCCATGACCTTCTTTGAGTGGGACTTATATCGAAGTTGATTTTTTATGACGATAAGAGGTGCAAAACGACGCTGTGTTTTAGCGCCAATTGACACTAATAACGGTATAGCACCCGAGCGCCATGCGGAACACCTGCTCGATATAATTGACATAGAGAATTGCTGAGCTTTCTCATTGTTCTTTCCAACTCACACACATTGAACTGTTACAAACAAGACCGCCAAAAAAAAAGTCTACCCCAGATAGGACGGAAGCTTGAGCTCATGTGGGGATGATGAATGGCCGCTAGTGCGAGTTAGGTGTTAGTGAGGTACAATACATACATTATGTACCTAATGCAACCTCATGGGCTCTTACCTAACGCAACAATCTAACGCAACAATGCACCACAGTGCGTGGTGGAATGATTGGCAACCTAAATTAGCTGATTGGGTACCTACATGTAATTTACAGCTACGAAACACTTAACTTCAGGTAGGTACTGTCGCAGATCTTCTCATAGGTAGGTACCTAGGCTATAGCGAGGCGCCTTTACTTTATGACGTTAGGTAACTGACTTGAGGAAGTACCAACCCGATACTGAACTTTACTATGTATTGTGGAATTTGGTCTACCTCATCCTCATCCTCATCCTCATCTTCATCCTTATCCACATTACAATACTCTACCTCACTACAATCCTTACTACATACTACATACATACACGTATTTACGGAATCCCCAAATATTCGTACCTGGTGTCACATAGACGTAGCCGGTTTATTAGATACTGAACTTCGGCCAACAATATTAGTGCTGCCTACCTACCTAAGAGGAAATGGAGAGACAGGCAACAATGGAGCATTCAATAACGCCAGTTACCATCCAAGGGAGATACTTTTGGAAAGGTAACATAAGGGTAAGTATACATCATTTTCATAATATATCGAGGGTATAGGCTAAGTATAAAATAAATGGTTAGTTCATCATGAACGGCGTTGTATACAAAAGCCACGTGCCATTAGATATACTGGCCGACAACCACATAAAGTTCCTCGAACATGATATTCCACTATTAAGAGCACTCAAGATTAACACGATATTCGTTAGTAAGTTTATCCTGAGCATTTTGTTTCCGTGTACCTCGTCCTGGCCTTAGGAAGAAGGCGAGATGGCGAGAATAAGAGACTCACAACAGTAACCAGGCCATATCGATGGAACCAAAAGCCATAAAGCTTGTATGAACCTATTAGCTGAGAATGAGATATATGTTCTGGTTGTGAGTTAACTTTCCCCTGTTTGCCTTCGTTCAATAAGACTACCTAGGTATATATGCCTACCTACCTATCTACCTAAGGTAGTTATTAGTTACCCCTCCCATAATTGAATGTCTGCCATACTCATATATGGAGGATGGTGATAGTCTATCGGATCACCGGTGTCCCTCTTTACCTTTAGGCCTTTGATACCGTACACATCAAACTCGATGCAAGACGTCTTCCAAGTCGTTGAAAACCTAGCGAGCTACCCAAATCTATTGGGTTTCACCATCCTCAACGAACCGATCAAAGATCTAGCACCAGAAGCTGCTGGACCTGTTATCCGCGCCATAGTGCGTGATACTAGACGATATGTTAGCCTTCTCGCCGGCAAAAAACATCAAAGGGCCATTCCAGTCGGCGTATTCTTGTTGCAAACGACCCTCCCGCTGGAAGATCAATTCGAGTACTCTTGTTCAGGAAAGGATAACGAAACAGTCGATTTCTTCGTCGCAAGTACCCATCTCTTTTCACAGTAACTAAATATAAAAATATAGCTCTTATTGCTGACTCGCTCTGCCTTGCATAATTCAGTTTAACTACGTCGACTTTGGTATCAGAACGCCGATGCAGACACCTAGAGAATCAGATCCACTCAAGATATTCTCTAACACGCATATACCAGTGTCATTCGTATATTGCGACGATTCGCATCAATATCTTGCGACCCGCTCGATTTACTTGGACCCGGACATGAGACGCGTGTTCTCCGGTGGTATCGTGCACCAGTTCTTCGGCGGGCTAACTCAGGACGGCCTCGTGGGACCAAAAATAGCCTCACTAGGGAGCGGCAGACAGGTACGTTGCGAAAGGAAGATTGACTACTTTAACCTACTCGATAGCGTGCATGCGGCTTTTCAAAAGCTACCAGCTTCAATAATGGCTCGCTCCCGCCTCCTTGAAGCGATTGCTATGTCGGGAAGAAAGCCTAGACAGCCCGATCCCAAGCGGAATTTGCTTGCACTAGGGCAGGTACCTGCTAGCCCGGTGAACTGGACAGAGGTTGAGGCGTGCATTATCGACGAGAGCGAGTGGGTCGACGCGGGGAAGGAGTTGTTGGAATTATCTGTTGACGATCTCGTGGCCACGATGTGGGATAAGTTGAACATCGATGAAGCAGATCCCTAGATGAACGATTACTCTCCGAGGTTAAGTTGACGAAGTTCTGGACTATAGCGTTTTACCAGCGATGGTTTTTATATCAAGCAGTATCTTTTAACTGCAGCGCTTAAATGTAGCAAATCAAATTCATTCGTCTAAATTTGGCGATAATTGTAAGTAAAAAGCAAAACGACAAGGATTATCGATGACAATTGATCCCTTTCATATGCCGGCTAAAGAAGCGTGGAAATATAGCCTGCATCCGTTTACTCAGTATAATGCATATCAGGCTCCCAATCTGCAAATAGGAGAAAGCTCCAAAAGATAGGTACACAACATTAGTAAGGATCAGCGAGGGTCAAGATGTAGTAATAATAAAACACTTTTTTATTCCTGATAATCAAGGCAGCTCCTAAACCCATTCCCCAAGCTTTACACAGGTATCTTCATGCTAACATGGTAAATAAATATTCAACCCATTTACATAACCTCCCATCAAGCGCCATTACTCTGCGCATCTCCATTGGTATTACCAGCGTCCGCTTCGTACCCCTCGGTCTTCATGTCGCGAAGGCCAAGATCCTCCTCTTCTTCATCCGTACGCTCGTAGTCCTCAGTCGTGATCTGGGGGTCGTCCTGATCTGGGTCGACGGCTTTCTGGACGTAACTGCTGGCTAGCGGGTCGGTGAGAATAACAGTGAATTTCTTGTCGCCCTTGATGGCGGAGTCGATGTCCTCGAAGAATTTCGTCCATCGCGACTTCTCGTTGTCGCTTAGAGAGTCGCCTCCTTCCGAGGTACCGGTCTCGAAGATCTGGCTGTGTAGGTCGTTGCGTACTTGCGTCAGAAGACCTTCGACGGTTGTGAAGCGGCCACCCAGCGTTCCGGGGTTTACTTGGAGGTTAAGCTCGGGGCATTCAAGCGCACAGCTCTCGCTCTTGAGGATATCCCGAGCGAGGTCTTCCTCGGTCTCAACTTTTAATGTGATCTTCTTGCCTAGCTTTGGTATCTCTCCTCCGGTCTTGACGTCGTTGGACCGGTATCCGCAGTCGGCGCAGACAGTTGACATCAAGACAACGGCCTTAAAGTGTGGGATATCCACCATCTTCATATTAGTTGTGCAAGGGTGCATGCATCCAGGACAAGTGGCCGGGAATTCGTACACCTGGTCTGGAATTATATCCTCATCCTCAGTAGATTGGCCTGCGCCGGTAGTCGGATTCGTAGGGGCGAGTCCCAGCGCTTCATTCTGCTCCGGAGTGCGCACATATTCATGTTTTTCCCATTTACCAACGCCGTCGCGCATGTTAGGAGTAATCCAGGAATTTCCGGCCGGGTCGTCAACGGAAAGTCGGAATGGGAAGGACTCGCCCGCTAACATTGATCGACCCTTCTTGATGATCTCGTCGATCTTAGCATATACTTCTGGTGCCTGCTCTTTTCGCGCCTCTTGTCCGAGTTCGAGGTCGTCTATAATCGTTGTTAGGAGACCCTCTACATTCGTGAGCTGTCCGCGGCCCGGGGGTACTTCTAGGTCGAGTTCAATAAACTTGACGATAGAAGTGTCAGACTTGATCACCGTTCTCTCGAAGTCGGCCATTTCGGTCAGTCGCAGTATGTAGCTCGATCCTTTGGGCTGGATGGTACCGGCCGACTGTATCTCAGAATTTGAAAAGCCGCATTTGTCGCAAGAGAAAGACATGAGTATGACTTCGCGGAAATAGGGGATCGAAGTGAGAAGCATGCGCGTTATGCCCTGGAGAATGTCAGTATAAAGACAATTAGAACTGAATACATTTGGTAATAATACATACATTTTCATGGCAGTTCATGCACAGCGACTCGATTTCCTCGACGACCTTCTCATCGTCGCCATCCGTATGCGCGACTCCATTCGTTCCATTAGTAGTGGGGGCAAGATGTCCAGCTTTCTGGCCGATGGACTCGAAGAAGTCGGGCGGAGAAACAATGGTTGTTTGTCCTGGTTCGTCGGCGGTAGGCATTTTGAATCGTATTGTTGTTTTTAATTCTTTATTCTTTTCGGTAACAAATTGTCGTAGTTCTTTACTCGTCGTCAAAATATGAATATGTAGGTAACTTTAGGTATGTCTGATGTTTGACTTGAAATAAAAAATTGGAGGGGCATTTGTCGCAGTAGCGCGGGGTTATGACATATCTCACAACTCAAATAAGCTTATCAGTGCACACAGCACCACAATCGCCCGAGAGCTAGTGATTGCTAGCCCCTGTTGGAAGGGTCGAGAAGTCTCCTGCCACGACAACTTTTCCAACTTTTGGTAAGCAATGTACATAGCGTTAAGTAGCATTGTTCCTAGGTACATGTAAGTACCTCGACATTAGATAAATACCTAAGATCATTTTGACATGAAGTCGCTCAAACTCAAGCCAAGGCCAGTTTGAGGTTTTGACGCAGAAGATTGAGCCTGCTGAAGTAAAGCTTGAAGCCCTTGTTTTCTACTCTTCGCCCTCTTCTTGCTGCTAGCACTTGCTGAGACTTTAGATGGTTCGGAGGGTATAAGCGCAGGCGCAGACTTTAGTGGACGACGCCTAGATATAGGCGCTACGGGAGGAAGTACGATATCGGTATACCGACCGCACATCCCACAAGTAAACTTCTTTCGACGTTCGGCTGTTGGTGCGCTCTTCCCAGTTATAACCTTGGAACTATTGTTCTTCCTTTTCAATTTTTTTCGCTGGGGATTCATTTTTGTCTCCATCTTTAACTCGCTCCCTTGGCCGGGGATCATAATATGTCCACAAGCACCGCACACGTGTTGTCTTTGCGAGTCCGACTGCTCTAAATCATTGTGAAGTATTAACGAGTTCCGCCGCGTCATAAGGTACGCCGAGGTCTCAGGCGCCGTCTTCATGAGAAGATGAGCGGCATCAGTAAGAAATACAAGGCTTTGCGGCAGAGTCTCGCTTGCCATCTTGAAAATTGTAGGTGAATAGGGGGTATTGTTGTCCTATCTTTTCCAAGTCTTTTCTTACCCCAGACCAGAAAGAAGATTGGGAAATTTCGGTGACCCACCAAGGCACCATTTAACATATATTCCTCTAAAATGCATATGTCTTTATATTTATGAGGTTACACCATGTAACATAGTAAAGGACTAACCTAGTAAGAGAAATGTGAAATTTTCATTCTGTTATCATGAGCCTCTATATACTTAGGTACCATTTACCAATTTACTCGTAGGTCGTAATGGCAACTTCGCGGCTATATATGCCATGTCGATCATCTTTGCGGTATTAATCGAATCAGCGCCGCCCACCCATTGTCGTGCTTCACGTCCACGGACTTTATTAACGAATTCCTCCAGCTGGTATCGGTAAGTCGTCCACGAAGGCTCACCCGGTTGGTCGACGTCAACATCTTTGAACGTGTATGCCTTAATGGTCTTACTCTTCGTCCACTTCTTTACGGCGGTCCCAGACTTGTCCCCGATCTTCCTCGTTAGGAACTCGTCGTCTATCTGGATAGAATGGAAAATTGTGGGCATGATAAAATTTGAGAACTTGATCTTCCGTATGCGCACCACTTCCTGATCATGGGGCACTTGGATCCCTACATCCACACTAGATACCACTTTCGGAGTATGTTCCACGTAAATATCAGGCGACATACGATCAAGGGGCGCTTTTAGGTCGCCTTCCATCTCGCCCCGCCCGCCGCCTGGAAATTTATACCGAGCCTTGAAAAGCCGGTCGCATCTCGAATCGTAGGAGGCTGCCTGAATGAGGCATTCTTCACATTCATCTGCCACGGCGCCAAACACGCGAGTAAGAATGCTCGCCGTATATGCACCAAGATCCATGAGCGCACCTCCTCCCAGATCGTACTGGTATCTGATGTCATCGGCGGCAAACTTCCACTTTGGAACCCATAGCACTGCTTTCGCACTAAAAACATCGGCAGGTGAAACGTATGACATAAATGCGGTCCAAGCAGGATGGAAAGCATAATGCGCAGCCTCGAGTAGAACTGGCGCCTTGGGGCTATTAAGAATCGGGTTCTTAAAGAGAGCCTCAGCTTCGGCTACATTGTCCACCGACGGCTTCTCTAATAGAACGTGCTTCCCAGCTTTCAAGGCCCGAAGAGCCCACTCGAAGTGTAATCCATTGGGCAAAGGTATATAGACGCAGTCAATAGTAGGGTTATCGAGCAAGTCTTCAAATGCCGATGTGCAGTAATGGTTAGTAGCTGTTCTCCACGTAATGCAACATACGACATCGAAAATCATGTAGTTACCTTGATAGTTCGAAGACACCTCTTGTATTCCATGCTTCTGGGCATAGGCTTTTGCCTTCTTCGGATCTCGAGCGGCTACGGTCTGAATGACAACATCCGGATGAGTTTTTGCCGGGAGGATAAGAGACATCGGTGCAATATCAGCGGCACCGAGTATTCCGAACCGAAGTGGACCAGCCGACTTGGGCGTCTCGGAAGGGTTGAACGCCAACCAATTGCGCCGTGCGAGGCCAAATAAAGACGCCATTATGGGCAACTGTTCTTCACCGATAAAATGTGGAAATAGGTCGGATCCGCAAAGGTTTCAGTTAGTGACCAATATTCGATTGATAAAACCAGATCTAATCAAGGCGAATAACAATGTATATCCGGTTGGTTAAATATATGAAAGATACACCCACGCAACACATATCGTTTTATAAGTTACGTAACCTTCGTAGTTGCAGGAATTGGATCAAACAACGAGGACACGTTCCTAATGCTACCTGTTTACTACCCTTGTCAAGACACTCCCACTAACCAACGAAGCACAAACGCGTCCGACGACTTCCCAAACAACGAGAAACAACACTAAAAACCCGGCTTACTCGAAAACATTACTATCTCTCAAAGACAACTACAGCAGATGAAAAACAAAGTAATCTCACAAAACAATAAACTGAATGGGGACGGACAACTCTAAGCTATCAATTGAAGATTACTACTGGCTTGCGCGCTAAGTTTTATAAATGCCAAAAGGTATCCAAGCATCTAATCATGAGCATGCAAATATCCTATCCCTATATGCTTTCCCAATTACTCCTCCACAGGTATCAATTATCAATTACCACTACACTGCTGTGTAATGCACTTATAGGATGCTGCCGAGGATGCCACCGACGAGCTTAAGAAGGCCACCAACGACACCCTGGAGCTGACCAACAAGACCATTGATCTCAGTAGCAAGAGGACTGACAACACCAGCAACAACCTTGAGGGCGAAGCTGACGACGGGCTTGGCAACGGGCTCGACGGTGGAGAGGACAAGCTGAAGTTCGGGCTTAACAGCCTTCAGGACATCTGCAAACTGGTTAGTATCAAAACATGTGAAATAAAACATAAAACATACCAGCAGGGACGGTCTTGGTGATCTGGTCAACAGTGGCCTTAACACCGGTAGCGATAGCGAGAACACCGTTCAAGAGCTCAGGGACAGCCTTGAGCTCATCATCGAGCAACTTCGGGATATCGTTGGTAATGAGGGGCGTGACATCACCAACAATCTTGGTAACCTCGCCAGCAACGTCGAGGAGAAGGCTCTCAAGCTGGGGGATCAGAGCCGAAGTGTTGAGGCTGATGTTAACGTCCAATAGGTTGTCTGTAACTGTTAGACTAAATCTGGCTATAATTATTCCGACTAGAACATACTGATAGACTGGAGTTGACCGTCAACATTCTTCTGGACAGTGCCAACGGTGGCGGTGGCAGTGGCGAGAATCTCGAGGGCACGAGCGTTGTTCTGGTGAGCAGCCGGGGCGGCGATGGCAGAGCCAAAGGAGAAGGCAGCGAGAGCGAAGTTGGAGAAACGCATTTTGACTGGCGATGTGGTTATCGGCGGGAAGGGTATATTAAGCAGTGGGAATAGCTGTAGAGCTTGAGATATCAAAGAGTGACTAAGTTGGAGAGTAGAGAGCGACTGGGTGAGAGAACCTGAATGCTGATCGTTGGGATGAGGAGGTAAGAGAAAATATCTGATGATGCTGACAGGAAATGGCAGATATATACTCCCCGAGGGCGCCGACTCGCTAACCCATCGCCCCTGAGTTTTGCATTCATCTTGGTCATGTTGACTCTACTCTGGTAGAGTCTAACATCCCTTGTGATGTCGTCACTAGCCAAGGACTAGAATAGCGATGGACATTTCCTCTCGTCTCATTTTGCTAGCCAGGACCATTCAGGGTTAAACCTTGGCGAACATGGTTAACACATGGTAGTACGGATACCAGCCGGATGGATTTAGCTAGGATTTGCAGTGTTTTCCACTTGTTTTCCACGAATAAGCTTATCGTCGAACTACGGTCGAATTGTTCTGACATTTCAAGGAGAAGTGGATCTATCAACCGTGCGTTGCGGTCCAACGGGGCGGATACTAACCTAAGGGGTTATATTACCCCCGTAAGGACCAATATCACTGGTCGACACGGTTAAAGAGACGATCATAATGTTACCTGTCCGCCCCCATGCCAAAAGTTCCGTTACTAGTCATCCTTAATCATTTATGCCAACGGAGTACGCGATATCAATCAAAAACGCAAACTCGTTTGTTCACTTCGTTACGAGCTAGTCGCGCTAGCTATTCGGTAGCGTTTAAGTCGGTAGCGTTTAAGCTTCAAAGACCTCGGCATGTTACAATCGAGTCGCGGTGAGGCCATACTGCCGCGGCATCATCGTGTAAGCGAACTCAAATTACTTACATAGTAGTTAAATGATATGCCCACTCCAATCCACTCCAGCTACTTGGACCCAAGTAGAGAAAAGAATCAGATTGTTGACTATCAAACGACCTAATGAGCCGATCACAACTGGTTCTTGAAAGTTAAACCGGGGAGTCTGGTAGCCCTGCAGTGTCAGGAGGGTTATATTGGTCGGAACGTGTTGATACTGAGGCAGCGCGGGGACGCTAGGCGGGTTGTCGTTGGCGATCTTGATACTACTTCAATTCATGCTGATGCCATTTCATTCACTTACAAACTCACCGACTTCATTACCGCTATGGACTTCGTTTGCGGTAGCTATTGACTTTAATGGACATCACCCACATGCATACCCCATCGCTTTTAAGGCACCATACATACATAATAAGCCGCCCGGTTGTGACGAGAGTTGTGCAGTTACATATCCCTATTACTCTTAAATTGATAATGTGATCGATCCTGCGTAGTCGCAATACTCACAATTCTCACCAAGCCTGTTGCGTGAAATAATAGCCTACCTACATTAGGTAGTATTATTACGAGCAAGAGACCCTGATTTTTTTCTACCTTCGAAAATGACGTAAATATTCAAAGTCCGGCTCATGATGTCGGGACTAACTATGCATACGGCATGCCCGATGTTACCATATTTCAACAGAATTGGGTAAGGGCCTCTTTAGTGAATTTGAGCAAGGGGTAGACTCCTATTCTCCTATTCATACCAGTGTAAACGTCGACTTGATAATATTTTGTCGGCATCTTTTATTGCTCCAATGCTCTTCAGCTCATAATGGGGATAAAAAGGCCTCACTATTTAGAACCTTGGAGGAGTTGAGCGAACTTTCTGCCTGGATTTATGGTCGAAGCTACGATGACTGCGTACGTCGAACTTAGCAGTATCCCCTGAATCTTTTCGGATTTTTTAAACGAGCGATTGCACCGCCTCTAGTGCCAAATTTTTGTTTCGCTTCGATGATACTCCAAGTTAGACGAGTACGGTGCTTAAAACCGAAATACGCGTAGTAATAGTAAAAGCTTTCTGATAGTTATAGGTGTTTCTAATAGTATTGTGGCATCTTCGCGAGGTTTACGCAGGCCGAGGGAGTCAGCTTAACTCTATGTTAGGTAGATATCGAGAAAGTAGTCGCCTTCAAAACGTCGCATTAATCAATCGTGACGCGGCAAATATCTCATTTTCTTGGCTTGACGTTGGGTTTCTTAAAGGCGCAAGCGAGGTAGGACTTAGCAGTCCTGTAATACTCGTTACTCTACGCATAAACTCATCAACGTAGGGGCGAGTAAAGACCTCCAGCAAAATATTCGTTAGCGGACAAATGTTCGGACACGAGAATCAGCTATACACGTATTCTCAAACATCTTATGCCTTGATAGTTTTGCCATGTCAATTTTCACTTTCTGGGTCGCCTATCTACGAAGATATCCCAATGACTCCAAGATTTGATTTTCTTTATTTATTTTTATTTTTTCCTGGGCAATTCATAGCTATTCATAGCTGATTCGTCCGCGATTCGTGATGCGGTTTACAATCTGAATAAAACACCTGACATTCCAGGGTCGTCATTGAATAGATTAACCTGGGAGAAGAACCACTTGTGCTAGTTTGTAAAAGGTTATAGAATAGAAAATTATATTATAATCCATTATGATTTACGCCACCTTCGCCAACACTTCATCAGTCCACGACCACAGCTCACGACCTAACTCCTCGCTCATCGCTGTCTTATCCAGTTTGCCTTGTACACCGACGGGCTTATAGTATGCTCCATTCACTAGTTCATCTCTCTTCGCGCCTGCTGCTGCCCAGAGCTGGTTTAGACGACCTATACTCTCGTCCACTACGCTACCACCTAGCATCCAGTTTGCACCGTACACAAAAGCTTTTCTCATCGGTGGTAAGCTATTTACTAGATCTGTGGTGACAACACCTGGGTGGATGGACACAGCCTTAATATTAGGGTACCGTCGCGCGATCTCAGCTGCGTAGATTATATTTGCAATCTTGCTTTGTCTGTAGGAATACACTCCAATTAGTCCTTATAGCTGGATAACCCAATATAATATATTTTATTCGGACAAGATATACTTCATGTTCGGTCGCTGATCATCGAAAGGCGTAACTTACCCGTAGCGAAGATTGAATCCCAACAAAGTCAAGTCTTCTTGCTTAGTACGAATAGTAGCAAAGTCTATACCATTTTTCGGATGTCCTTTCCAGCCAGCGGATGTAAGGACGACAACTCTCACGTCGGAGCCAGGCAAGTCTGCGGTCCTCCGTAAGATAGGTAGGAGTTGTTGAATGATCATGCCATGTGCTAGATGGTTGACTGCGAAGTGTATCTCGAAGCCATCCTCGCTTAGGGCCGGTGGTTTATCCATGATACCGGCATTGCACCTATTTATTATCAGTTCAGAATTGGTCTCCCTTTGCTATACAACATTTGGAGAAGAAACAAAAAATATGGCTAACATAAGAATATCGAGGCGGTCGTGAGTAAACTGAGCGCAAGCCTTCTTGACTGAAGACAGTGAGGTCATATCCATCTTTAAGAATGACATTCCCACGGACGGATTCGTCTTCTTTATCTCCTCGACGAGCGCTTCGCCAGCTTGTGCATTGCGGCCGGTGAAGTAAATATGGGTAGGGTCATGTTTTGCAAGGGCTTTAACTGAAGCTCGCCCAAGACCAGCAGTACCTTCGAATAGTCAGCTAATACAGGGTTTCGAGGTAAAAACAAGGACGGTAATAACATACCTCCTGTGACGAAGATAACTCTACCCTGAAGAGACGGGATATCCTTGTCTGGGTTGAAGTTCACGAACCCAGATATCGCAGGCATATTGGTTAATGGTGTTTGGGATTCTATGGCGTTCAAACCTTCCTATTTACGAATATAGATGGCCGTAGAGATATTAGGACGATATTTTATTCCCGCGTTGATATACTGCGTTAGAATCATTGAACTAGTAGTGAAGTAGCTTATGGATAGCTAGATAGAACTGAAGACTCCTTCCTGCGAAGGCGATGCTTTTATATACTATAAACTTCAGATTGTAAATGGTACCTAAGCGTGCAAACTAATATACCGCTACCAAAAGCAATTTGTAGTTCTGTGACTGCCTGCCTATACGGTTCGGCTGATAGATCAAGGTCGAAAACTGTCGATATCTCCATCTGTAACATAGAATTGTATACTCTAAACCGAGCAGGGGTATATGCAGGATAAGCAGATGGCAGATGCGCTATTCTAAAAACGGCCTAGTCTTTTCCCAGGACTGCGGCCCTGCAGCGCTAAAGCAACGGCCCCGGGGCTAAGACGCCTAAAATAGAAAGAAGAGGGCCAATTGTTTTCCGTTCGGACGGTCCCTTGGTGCCGAGGCCGTTCCTTTAAGTTTCCGTGTTCAACCATCCGCCGGTCCCCAATAAGCAGAGTGCATTAAAAAGTCTCGACCTTAAGGCCTAGCCGCGATCGGGGATTTCAACCTTTCGATCCAATTCGCAAAACCTGCGACACGACAATATCAAATATCGCAGAATGGCTTTTAACGTGTCATCGATGGTACAGTTACGCGAGGTTAGGGCCCCCTGCTTCCAAGGATGAAGGCCCTTTCGATATTCGTAAATGTAAAAGGGAAATACGAAGCTGATAGGTTTCTAGGCGCGTGTAGAAGATGATAACTGGACCGGATTGGCTAATGCAGCTGAAAGGAGGAAGCGACAGAATCGACTGCATCAAAGAGCTTGGCGTAGGTCGCTATACACCCCATGTTAATTCAAAATCGCTTATAATTGTCATGCTTAGGCCGAAAGAGGGCTGCTCAGCGAGCAGTTGGCGACCAGCATGAGTCCCATGAACAAGCGAACCCGTCTGAGCCAGATGTAGATAGTCCCCTGGCGCAAGAGATCATAAATCTCTTAAAAGCCGATCCACGCGTGTCGTCCCATCTCTATACACGGCTCAAGCCCTTCACTTATTGGGAGGAGTTTCATACACAGCTGAATGCTTTAAACGAAGTGTACGGGATACCAGATCGCCCATGTTATAATCTTAGCCAACAACAAGACCTCACGCATGGCACAAGGTGCGATCTGCCGAGCCCTAAATGGAAAGCGATCCCACCCATGATCCCGTACCTCGATAGCCACAACCGGGTTGGAATCACCATCCCAGATTTTGCCTTTCCTATCTCGGCAGACCACCGGCTCATTGTATTAATCCAATACAACGTTCTTCGAGCGCTCATTACCAACATGTCTATCATATCAGTTCTCGAGCGGATGCCTCTCGAATGCGGCGTAGCTCTCAATATAAAAAACTTATTTCCTCCTCCTGAGACCATACCCTCTAACTTTGAATCGACTCAGGTCCAGAAGCGTGTGGCGCATGATTTCTGGATAGATATTGTTCCGTGGGGTCGTATGCGAGATAATCTGATATTGAACCACGGCAGGTATGATGAAGAAGACCTCTGCGTAGACATGGCTGGTGGGCTGTACGAAGGGTTTGACGAGGTGGAAGCTAGGGGGTTGATAGTATGGGGAGAGCCATGGTCAGAAACGGGCTGGGAAGTTACCGAGGGCTTTGCGACGAAATGGTCGTTCCTGTTGAAGGGATGTCATACTCTGATCGAATCGACTAATAGGTGGAGGGAATCCAGAGGAGAAGAGAAACTGATTATTGATGTATGAGTTGGTGTTGAAGTATTTATGTACTTGTACAAAGTAGGCAACTAGGTACACTATGGACGATAGACTATGAACTCACGATCAAATGCCAAGATAGAGGCTACGGTTCTTCTCCCCAAGGACCTACGCCCGGGCCTTTATAAATCTTCCCACCCTTCCATACCCACCCGATCGTCGCCTTTTCTTGCAATACCTTCACGTCATCGACCGGGTTTTTCAATAAGCCAAGAATATCGGCCTCGTACCCAATCTTTAACTGGCCCGTCTTGGGAGCCTGTCCCTTCACGGTCAATGGACCGTTGGCCGTCGCGGCCTTGATCGCCTCTAAATTGCTTAAGCCGGCTTGCACAGCATAGTCCAATTCCATGGCCATATTGAACCCCGGCGCCGTATCAGTCCCTAAAGCAATTGGCACACCCGCCTTGACAGCCAACTTATAGGCAATAAAGCTATTCTTACCACATAGTTGTGCCTTCTCCCATTGCTGCCGTGATAAACCCTTTCCACCTGATTGCAGCAACAATTCAACAATGGTACGTGTAGCAACATACACGGTGCCTTTCTCCTTAATCAGGTCAATACACTCTTCATCGGCAAACGACACATGTTCTACAGATGCAACACCCGAATTGACTGCTGCCAAGATACCCGGCTTCCCGTGAACATGAGCGGCCACAACACGGTTCTGCCGCGCCGCCTCCTCGACAATAGTCCGCAGCTCCTCACGACTGAACTGCGCGCACAATGGGTCATCATCTCGCGACATCACACCCCCCGACGCCATCACCTTGATAACCCGCGCTCCACGCCGGATCTGCAGACGCACAGCTCTTCGACACTCATCCACGCCGTCCGCTATGATCGACGTGCCGGCCCCGAACTGCCCCGCAGACACGCTCGACACGCCAAGATTCAGAAGCACGTCCCCTGCCGGCAGCGCAAACACGTCCCCGTGCCCAGCCGTCTGGCTCAGACACGCGCCCGCGCTGTACACGTTCGGTCCCACGATCGTCCCGTCCTCGATGGCGCGCGCCACTTCGCATCCGTACCCCGCTAGGTCGCGCAGCGAGGTATACCCCCGCTGCAACGCCTCCCAGCACCCTCTGGCGAGGCGCGCGCCGGCTGCGGCCGGATGCTCGCTGATGATGGGTAGGTAATCGTTTTTCTCCTCCTCGCTCTCCCCGCCAAAGTGCGCGTGGCAGTCCCAGAGGCCGGGCATCAGGTACGGTACAGAGTACGATTTAGACGGCCCTTCGGTGAATATTGGTGGTAGGTCTGATTGCGGGCCGACCCATGCGATGAGTTTATTTTCAATTACTAGGGCCGCGTCTTTGAGAGGCTGTCCATCGCCGGGGATTAGTAGACCTGTGGTGATGATGGTGAAGACTCGCTCTGTGGCGTCGTTAGAAGGGAATACATTGTCATCTTCACTTCTGGTCCGTATAGCGATGCCGAATCCTGTAGAGAAGACGCGCTTTGGTAGAGCCTCAGGCTGAGGTTGAACTGCACGCCGGGTCATTTTGATTTCACCTTTAGCATCTGCTTCTGCCTTTTTGTTGGTATCGGTGCCGAGATATGTTCCGGATGAGAAGGGAACCTAGGTAGGTTAGTGAAGCAGAGAAATGCGTTAAGGTGACTCCCATTGTGGAAAGTCAGGGGTAGCTGAGCGTATAGATACCTAGGTAGGATCGGTAAGCAATACCTACCTATTGCCTTCTTAGGTATGTAGCATTGGGGTAGAGATAAGCTATTGGTAAAACGATATCACTGATATAGACAGGGTCTCGTGATCTTTGGAAATAATGCTAATTTGATACCTACTGACTACATACAACACAGAAACTAACGTCAATCTAGGTACATTGTCTTCTTTTTCGATACCACTTTGTCGTATCACAATAGCCTGCGAGGAAGAAAGAGACAAAAAGAAAGAGACAAAAGAATTACAGCTGACTGGAGCTGTACCTACATGGTTGAATACATATTGTTTACTTTTTTGTAAGAAACATAAATAACAATGAACAATTTCCTTGATAATTGATTATTCGCCCCTAAGTTCAAATCCTATGACATGTGAAACATTGGAACAGACTATTGTTAAGACTTGAAAACATGGCCTTAGATGGTGGTGAATGGAGCCCGAGAGCACTCCTATATTTTCAACTGAAGGACGAGCAGACAGCGACAGGATCAGCACAGCAATGCTTTATATGCGAATTCCGTTACCAGCTCACTTGTACACATCTCTCATCTGAAAATATTGCAACTTTGAAGGGGGTAAAGGTTGTAACTGCCGCCAAAGACGAAAAAGGCCAGGATATAGTCCAAGTCTACGAGTGTGGGCACGCCTATTCTAATAATCGCCGTGTTAGATCTAGCAATATGCAGGAGAAAGAATATATTAAAGGAATGTGTACCGGATGCTTATGCGAATGGGTGTGGGACAGCCGTACGATTCGCATAGGTAAGTTAAGTGGTGCCATACGACCTTGCCATTATAAAAAAATGAAGAAAGGGGCTGCTAGTAAGCCGATACGGAAACCAAGGTGGTCATGGGGAACATATAAGAGATGGATTATGAGAGGTCTCTGGCCGTCTCACGTAGAAATGAATAATTCCCACTTCGAATAGTAAACAAACGTAGCCATTATTATTAGTTTATAATACATACCTATAACTACCTGAATGCTGGACTTTGACTTAGTAGGACGTCAATAGCTTATTTTTAAACGTGTGATAGGTACCTAGATTACAACTACTTCTGTGTTTTAGCCACACCTTAACTACTGCTAAATAGATACCTACGCTGCCCCCTTTTATGACTCTAATAAGGGAGCCTAGTGTAGGCCTCTTTCTACGCCCCTAATAGAAAACATCGGTTTCCCTTTGAGAACAAGAGCGTAACGTACCTACTCTTGCCTCTTCGATGTGCTCTTACATCTTTAATGTGAAGAAATGTGAGTCACAGTTGTAAATAAGTTGGTTAGGCGCCTGTATGAAACATAACCCAGGTACTCTAGAGTTTGTAGCTACACCTGCACTGGCACTTGGGTACATCTGCGTCTTATCTCGTACCTTACCGGCGCTCGTGAGGGAAAGTGCTACTTGGCAAACATACCTAAAAAACATACCTAAAAAACATACCTAAGGAACATACCTAAGGAACATACGTAGGTACCTAAGGTATATACACACCCCGCAACTTCCTTCCGGGTTGCGTTTCGCGGTTGCCCCGTTCGTTGCTCGGTTCGTTGCCTTGCGGTTTTCCTCCCACCGGTTTTCCTACATAAATATCCACGCTCCCACCACCGCACATCGAATTCTAAACCTTTTCCTTTCACACCAGGATTCACTTCGTCAAGCTACTGGCACCGCCAACTTTCTTGTTCGTCCCCAAGCTTTCCCTTTCAGGACGGCTTTCGTTAACAAAGTTGACGCGAACTACGGATAAGTCAATCTCTAAACCACATCCCTTTCACCATTTCGCGTCGCCGATTCCCACTCTGCCGACCGGCACTTGATATTTCCTACGTTGCCTGCTGTTTCTTTCCTCTCGGCGTATACGACGAGAGTATTTCTACTTCTAGTTGCATGCTTCGTTGATATCACTTTACATCACTCGTCGGTGCGAAGTAAAACACCATGGCCGCGTCAAGCAGCAGCCTCGTCGATATTGGCGATCCGAGCCATCCTTTCGCCCACATCACCCAACAGAATCATAAATCTCCTTTTCTTAGTCTTCCCTTGGAGGTATGTGTATTGTTTTTTTTTCAAGCCCAATATATGTTGGCACTGTTGAACTAACATCTCTTTTGAAGATTCGTCTCATGATCTACGAATTTGCCGTAGCCGTCAACAAGCCTGTCCGACCCAGGCAGGTTACTGCTCGCTCGAATAAGTTCGTATGGGATCCACCTCTTGACCAGTTCCCCAATAGGAGTGTCTTAAGGCTGGAGGAGGGTAAATCTCTAGTAGTTGGTCCACTTAGTCGCACCTGCCGCTCAATCTACCAAGAGCTAGAAAAGACTCCCGTCTTCTATCGCGTTAACAGTTTTGAATTCTACTATGCCCCGGATTTGCACGCCTTCTTAGCGGCTATTCTCCCGAAACGCCTGGCACTGATCCGTACCATTCGCCTTATACCTGGAACACGCCCAAATCTTCCAGTCGAAAGTTGGGGTGCAGAGTTACATCCCAGGACCCCGAATTACCAACGGACTCGCAATCGGGCTGCCGAAATTACCCATATCCTAACACTTTTGACTCAATGTAAGGATCTTAGAGAATTATCTCTTATTCTTCAGCAGGACCAGTATGGCGACATGGTTAACCAGGCATATGGATGGGATAAACTGGCGGCTTATTTTTCTTATGGAACACCAGCTTTTATCAACATGAATGGCTTTGATATCTTCATGCGCCTTGCCTCCGATGGAGAAGAGTTCCAGTTGAAAAAGGCCCTTGATCATCCCGACTTAACACAATCTTTCGTAGCCAAGAACATCCTTTCTACCATCGTTCATGGTCGTAAGTGAGATCTCCATTTTCTCTACCCAGCCAGTCTACTTTTTCCATTCATTCCAATTACCCCCTCTCTCCCCTATCTACCAAACCTACATCAGTTTATTAACCCCCAAAACAATTTCCCTAACAATCAGCTTTTCTTGATGGCAAACTCTTAGCTTGTCCTAAATCTAGTGAATTTTTCTAACCTTGATATGCTGTAGTGGACGAACGTAAAAAGGCTTTTGCGCTAAAGGCCAAAGCACTAAAAGCAAAAGCGCAAGAAGGCGAAAGCTACGAAGAGATAGACCTTCGTCCTCAGTGGTTTAAAGACATGGAAAACCAAACGGCAATCGAGGCGGCTATTATCGCTGCACCGGTAGACTTCACAGGTGAAAACCGTATCGCACAAGATTTGCATCAGATCATGTCTAACCGAGTTTCATCCCGTACCCGACGCAAAGGCCAGTCTGTGGACTCGATGGGAGTTTTACGTCGCGAGGAACCCAAGTATAACTTGGACGGGCTGTTGACGTGGTGGTACAGCCATGTGACAGGAATCCGCTGGTCTGATTCCAGAGATGTGGAACTTGAACTGAACTATCCTGGTAGGACCCCCGAATCCTCTTGGGAATCTTTCTACGTCTTACCAAAGGACCGCCATGGTGAGCAAAGCATCATCAATTTCTTCAAGGGTGTTTTAAAAGAGAGACATATAGATGTGGAAGCCACACTTCAAAGGGTGCGTTCCATTCCTTCCCCTTTGGACATCGCCAAGCTTGCTGGTGGATTGAACCAGTACATTGGCAAGGACACGATGTATGGGGAAAAGACGTCCCAGACAGTCAAAAAAGGTAGAATCCGCGCGTGGACGCACTGCGACGATCAGTGGAACCAGTATATAGTCAAACTAGAAATGCTGGTTGACAAGAGGAAGAAAGAAGCTACCAAGGCGGCAAGCAAAGCCACGAAGAAAACGGCAAAGTGAACCACGACTACTGACCGAAAGGACAGCACTGGTAATGATGACGACAATCATATCAATCATAGCAACCATAGCAACCATAGCAACCACTTGACACCTACTAATAGCTGGGAGGATCTGGTATCTACCTCTTCAACAGAGGAAGTAATGAAGAACGGGCCAGAAGAAGGGGAAGCAGTATGAAGGGGAAGCAGTATGAAGGGGAAGCAGTGTGAAGGAGGAGGTAGTGATAGGGGGAGGATGAAAAAAAGAGAAAAGAGAAAAAAAAAAGTTGGAAAAAGGGGGGATAATTGGAAGAAAAAAAAAAAAAAAAAAAGCAAAGTGATGAGGGGTGGTCATTTAATGCCGTGAAAAGCTACGAGCTTTTTTGTTTTCTTTCGATCTCTTTTTGCAGAGCCATCAGTTGGCGTTGATATTTCGATTTTTTACTTGGCTAGCTCATTCGTTATCCTTTGACGTCAATACTTTCCCTCTCCTGCCACTTGCGAGAGCGGGCGCTAGCAAAGGATACTTTCAGTCGTCCACCACAAAAAGATGTACCGTTGATGGCATCTATCGCCGCTTGAGCCTGCTCTGGCGTCGCAAAATCAACGAAGCAGAAATCGTGATGGCCAGGCTTGGCACGGACCGACTCGTGGGCGGTGACCCTTTTGCTTATTGCTTCTCTGTATTTAAGATAGTTTAATGCGATTGCCTTCTAGTTAATGAACAACTGAGCTCTGAAACGGTGGACTTACACTTGAAACTCTTTGAATAACTCTCTGATTTCTGCGGAGTTCATTGCTTGATCGTGCATTCGTGGTAGACCACCGACGTACAACCGTTGCTTGCTGAAGTCTTTATCATACCTGGAAAATGAAGATGGCAAGCCTTCCTTTTCTCCTTGTTGAATATCCTGGCCTAAGGATGCTTCACCTCCTTCATCTGTAGTAGTATTCTCCCCTTTCCAGTTGCCCCAGCGTCTGGAGCCCTCGCCCTGTCTCCCGCCAGATGCGCCGCCCTTTGGTATGCATGGACGGCACTTAACCTCTCTACCAAGTAGTAGCTTGCCGTTTAACGTAGACATGGCCAGATCTGCTGACTCGCGGTCTGAGAACTCAACAAAGCAGTAGCTTGGATTACGCCCTGTGAAGGGGTCGATAGAGATGTGAATCGCCTCAAAACTCTTTAGGTCATTTGTTTTGAGCAGATCCTCGATGTTGTCGGGCTTTGCCTGGTAGTTTAGGTTTCCGATATAGATGCGTCGGCCTTCGGCAATGGCTTTTGCTGCACTTTCTTCGTCTACCTGTCGTTTGTCTATTGTCCGCTCGCGGTCGAATGGACGACTTTTCGGGGTCCAGCTATTGCGCGGCTCTTGCTGTGGACTCTGGGGTCCTGCATTGCTAGTGACATCTCTAGTTCTCCAGGACGACGCTCCTAGTAGGTTCTGACGGGGATTACGAGACTGGGGGGAGCTTTTGGCTGTTGACGCGGCTGGGTCCCGGGTCCTCCAGTTGGACAAGTCTTTCCAGTTCTCCTTGCCAGACATTATACTTATAAGTGATTTTAATGGACTAATGTTGTATCTCTGTCTCCTTGACTGAAAACTAGGTAGAAATAAGATAAAAGGTACACTACTGGGAATGATCGCCAAGTATTTAAGCGAGAGTTGGAGAAGACTGGTCTAGAAACAGCCACCGAGCTATCTAATTCTAATTCTAATGCGGATACTGACTGGCGCTTCAACTAGTCCGGGCTAAACCCAATATTAACCCCCACCAGATTAAATCCCATAGATTGTCTGTGCTAAATTATGCTTTGTGGTCTGATGGTCTGATGTGAATGTTAAAAGACTTCATGACTGCTATACGGTCTAGTTTCAGTCTTACCCGGTGATTGAACCATATACTGATACATCTTCTAGTTATATTGATACAGGCAATTATTCAACTTCCTAACTACTTAACAACCTATAATTAGAAAAACAAAGGAATAAGGTTGACGGTGTAGAACACTGAAGTTATTGGATAAGATAAATGTTTAACTTAACCTACAAAAGCCGCTTCCCTTTTTAACCCAGGGAGATTTTATTTTGTTGCATGGACAAGGGTATCAACCATAGACTTTATTGGATATAACTTATGCAATTAATCTAAACCGACTGTCACGGTTCAGTTTCTTTACCTACTGCATACCTAAAACAATTAACTCATTAATGAGTATTTCTATCTTCTATTATGAAAGGGCTAAGTTTTGGGAAAGGCAAGGTTAAAAGGTAATGATGTATTATTAAATATAACCTTTTGATAATGCAGGGCATTCTGCCATTGTTGGGTTCCAATGGCTATCATATCTGCAAACCAAAAGGTTATGTTAACTAACTACCTAGGTAGCTACAAATGACTCCCGTAATTATCTGACGGGGTGTGGGTTTTTACAGTCTTTTTGTTCTCTCCTCTCCCCTTTTTTTGTGTGTTTTTCTGTTTTTTCTTTTTTTGTTTTTTGTTTTTTGTTTTTTGTTTGTTTTTTTGTTTTTAAGTCTTAGTACGCCAAAATGGGCATATGCAAAAGTCCCTCTGCCATATGCAGTTCATATTGGCCTAGGTACTGTCATTCTAAAATCTAAAAAAGTGGATGTACTGCTAGGCTCTTCTATTTGTAAGAACTTGCGAGGTCGTGGAACGCATCTTGCAATGATGGATAGAAGCCGACATCTATTGAACGATGATCACCATCCATGCCAAACGAAGGAATATAGTGGTCAAAGTACCAAAGGGCTTCCTCATATTTATCCCTATCGATGTCGTATACATCTTCTTGGAAGAGCACAGTAACTCGCCTGAGGAAAGCTCTTGAAAGAACTATCAGATGGTGCGCATGCAGCCAAAAGGAGCGGTTGACCATGTTGTCTGGGTTAACCCAAATGGTTAACCTTCTTAGACGACGATAAGTTTCAAAATCTTCTGGCCAATGGGGATTATCACCTGGGCAATTACGACTGATGACTATCATGTTGCGGGTATAAAGCAACGGGGTTGCTTCCTTATTGATTTGCTTACACACTTCAAGTAGAGAAGTATGCAGAATTTCGTTTTCTGGGCCTGGGGCTGGTATTTTTCTAATCGCTCTTGATAGCTTGTGTTTCATTTCTTCGTCGGGCCAATACAAATCTTCCCTTGTGAAATTGGATATTTTACTATCCATGTCGGGATCAATTCTTAATCTTTCCCCTCTGCTACATAACACAATAGGCCTATCTTTCTGGAGCACCAATCCGTAAATCATTAGCCTGATCTCGGTAGGTAGTTTGAGCAACATAGAGTTCTGATTGTTGGAGTCTGCCATTGCAAATGAGTAGTTGATACTAAAACTTACTGAGCTGTTTGTTTGGCTAGATAAACTTTTTATTGTCGTAGGAAGACTACTTATTTATATTAATAATGGACAGGCCAGTCTGTTCCTTAACTCTTTAGTTGAGCCTCTATTTACAAATAACGGGCGTGTTGTTACACATGCTGCAATTATTTTTCTGAAGGCGTACAGCAGCCTTGAATTTGTACATGATATGATTTATATAACATCTAGAGAAGGATTACCGAAGGACTACTTTTAAGGGGATGATTCCAACATTTTAGTTCATCCAGGATTTAAAGAAGTATTACTTCATGGGAAGTGCATACTTAACCCAAGGTAGCACTGTGGTAAACTTAACATGATTTGCATATATTTTTATTAAATGTATGTCGACTAGCTGCGTTGCCCGTCCGCTCAACCGCGGACGGGGGAGAAGGGGGGGATAATGCGCAAAACTGACGCCACAGCTAGTCTGGCCTCTGATTGGCTAGCCACACCTCAGCGCACGTCCGATGAATTTTTTGTAAAAACAATTGATCTATTTCAATAGTATGTAAAAGTTTTAATAATTGGTATCATTAAATAGAGCTCGTTTTGCATGACCTTTTGACACTATTCGCATATGTTTCAGACGATATGCGATAGAATGGCAAAGGGAAAAGTCGCAAACTGCGGGGCGATTCTAAGCATCTGATTCGTTGAAAAAATTGTGGCAGTACTAATAAAATATATAAGACTTGATGAATGATTCGTGGTGTGTACCTTAGACATATGTACCTATGTACCTATATAGAATTTGTTGGTGTGGATTAGGTACTTGGGTACTTAGCCCTATGATCGGCACTATGACGCTGAGGCTCAACCCCCACTAGGTAACATGGAACCTTATGAAGGTACCTGACGCAGGTACAGAAGCAAACTCCCTGGTAGCGCTTTCCTAGCTGGTGTCTTACAGTTGGTCGCGTGGGATAGGTTAGGTAACTACAGGGCAATCGCGGGGTGATTTCGCGGGGTATATAGATTATTTCCATCGGTGCTTCTAGCTAATGTTTTTCTCCAAACTCAAACAACTTCTTTTTACACGAACCGCCATAAACCTTCCGCTTTCTTCTCTTGCAACACATTGCGACGCGCTGCAACTCTTAACACAATGGCGCCTCCTAAGATCATCAAAGCCTTAGATGAATCAGAGGTCATCTGCACCTATGACGAGGCTAGCAACCCCATCATTCCAAAGAAGACCTTGAAAAGCATCGGTAAAGATGTGCTAGACGTCTTTCTCCCGGCCGGTTACCCCCATACCGTGACGCCTGACTACACTACTTACCAGATTTACGTACGTTTTCTTGTTTCCTGATTGCGCAACCCATGCGTGTCTTCACTTGTATGTCTTCACTTGCATGTCTAGGTATTTATTAATATTTTGCTGCAGGACTCCCTTCAGGCTTTTTCCAGCACAATTGCTGGCCTCCTCTCATCCCGAGCCGTGCTCCAGGGTTTCGGCGTTGGAGATTCCACCTCTTCGGCAACCGCAGCTGTCCTTCTTACTGTGCTGCAGGAGTCAACTGGCCGACTTGCCACAATCTTATTCGCGCACCGTCATGGTCGAGCTATAGAGCCAGAGTGCAAATACTACCGCTTCCTAGCTGATATCGTCAATGATTCAGCTTTGTTCCTTGATATACTCTCTCCAGCTCTACCCGTATATCCCAGGATCCTTGCACTCTGTGGGGCTGGTATCCTTCGCGCGCTCTGCGGAATTTCGGGTGGTGCCGCTAAAGCTTCTCTTAGCGCTCACTTCGCCAAGAATGGGAATCTTGCCGAGCTTAATGCTAAGGATGGAAGTCAAGAGACCGTGATCTCACTCCTAGGCATGCTAGTCGGTAGCTTGTTCGTTCATCTTGTGCACGGAAAGATAGCTGTGGTGGTTTCGATGATTGTCCTTATTGGTGTCCACCTCTGGACCAACTACCAGGCTGTTCGCTCTGTACAGATGCGCACTCTGAACAAACAGCGACTCACGATCATACTGGAGGAGGTATCCAGTCCTCGTGGTGCCATCCTCCGTCCCGACCAAGTGGCAGCAAAAGAGCGAATTCTTACGTGGGTCAGTCCGCGTATCACATTTGCCACAACATTCCCCCGGCTTCGCGAGATTAGTCACTTCAAGAATCAGAAGTATCGAAACCGGGGCTATGTTATTGTTCAGCAGCCCACAGGTCAAAAGATCTTCTTGAAGCAGGGTACCCCTACGATGGCTGCTTTACAAGCATGGGTCGAGGCTTACACGGGATCACATTGGCCGGCGGACAGCGTATTCTGGAAGAGCCTTAAGACTGCTGGTTGGGACCTCGAGACAAATGCCATGGAGACAGGCCCTTCTGTCCGGATCGTTATGGGCGATGAGGATAAGTCGGCTTAGTAGAGGCGTTATGGAAGGAGGGCTGAGTATCGGATTTCCTTTTCTTTGATAATGGGGTTTTGGAAGTTTTAAGGACGATCGGATGGAAACCGGATGATACCCCCAATATGCATTGCTTTTTAGGCTCAAGTACTTATTACAAGTAGGAAGCATATACTCAAATGGAGCCTTCAACCAATATGGTATAGTGCATGTGAATATTGTATATGTCGAAGCTAAAAAACGACGCCGTAATCGCTCACGAGCAATTACGCCTTATATATTGTGCGACAGTATATGAACGGCGATCCTTTCTATAACCAACCTGGACACCATGCTACCATACCTAGGTATATACTGATTCTTCACTCGTGTCTTATAATACATTAGTATCCATACAGGTACCACTACTAACCTTTCCCTCTATGCCAGGCCAGCAGCTCGCATAGCCCGCATCTTGACACCTTCCCAGGAGTTTAATTTGGGCCGCACATCTAGATAAAAAGACAGCCTCCCATCGCTAGTCTTGCTATTCCGCCCAGCGTAGAAATCGATGATATACTCGATCTCCTTGCCGCATCTATCCACAACCCAGTCGTGTCGATCGAAGGGGGCCTGGTAGCCTAACAGGGTATTTATGCGGGCTCGAGGGGACATCTGGGTGCTCAGACCGGAGAAAGAGTGTAGCCGTGGACCGCCGCAGCTATATTCCTCATCGATAAATAATCAGCATGCATGCATGGTATAATCCTCAAGTTATGTAGAGATGTTAGATGTCAGATAGGTAGGTAGGTATGTATAACGTACGTAGAGCCCCTCACGTACGGCTCCTCCCAAGCCTTGATCTCGGCCCACGCGCGCTCGTTGACGGCGTTGTGGATGGGCACGACGGCGCGCATGTCCGCGGCGCGCGGGTCGTGGCCCTTGCGCTTCATGGCCTCGAAGAACATGCGCTCCGAGGGATACACCCAGTTCCCCGACGCGGCGTCCGCGCCGGTCTCCTGCTCTGTGTTGGCAGGGCGCGCGGTCTCGGTGTGGTCGAGGAGGGGTTTCGAGGACCGGGGTATCGTGGAGATTTCTCGGGATGTGTCTAGGGAGGGGTGGTTTGGTGGCAATATGGCTTGTTGGGGGTGTGTGGGCGAGGAAGAGGGAGAGGAGAAGAATGGTATGCGTGGGAGGTAGGATGTCCATGAGGACGAGGTCGGGGTCGAGGTTGCCGGTGGTTGTTGGTGTTGGGAGGGCGGATGAGGTGGGGGAGCTGCTCGGGCGGCTTGTTGCAGCCAGGCTTCGCGCGCCTTGTGGTCTACGGGACAGCTTTCTATGTTCTCTGTCGAAGCGGTACTCGGAATGGAGGGGTGATCTGGCGGTAGGGATTGCGACGGTATGGATGGTCCTCCCTCCGTGGCGCCGGCGGCTCGGGCTTGTTGAAGCCATGCCTCTCTACTTTTATGGTCGACCGGACATTCGGATTGCGATTGGTCTGACATTGTGGTTGTAACTTGGAGCCTCGTTACGGCGTTACAATTGACTGTATAGTATAATATATTCGTGTATAGTATTCGTATAATTAAGAGGAAATTAGTGTAGAGAAGCCAGGAAGTTAGTGAGATTCTTTAGTGAAGATTATCAGAAATTCTCGGATTTCGGTCGCATCGAAACTTTTTTGTGGAGACTCTCACCTGCCAAATCGGAATCTACCGATTGAAAACCGGGTTGAGAGATTCAGGGTCGTCTACATAAATTGACATATCACATGCGTATATTAGCTACCTTAGGTGAGTAGGTAGATCTTTAAGTTACCAATATATTTCTCAGTAGTATTAAAGAATTCTATGCCTCAAATCTAAGATCGCTTCCGTCATCTTGTATCTGCTGCAACCGCTCTATATGCTGATGTAGCCAATGTGCCGCTACTCAAAGCTGATGATAAATGCTCACCACGAATCCCGAGAAATTAAGCTTGAAACTTGGGTATTTCGTATTTAGGGGTATTGTTGATGTGGTATTAGTGAATTATACTAAATGTTGGTCGGTCTTTATCGGTCCTTCGCCCACGCCGGTCATTATGATCCTGCTTACGCCTTCTTTAAGCAGACTTGCCGTAGTCTCATCCAGCTGCGTAGCCGCCGAGCTGTACGATCCAGCATCACCCTTCCAGCCATCCGTACTTTGTAGCAGGTTGTAGAACGTTCCTACCACAGGGGCGCTATCCTCCTCTAGATAGTACACCACGGCATTCGGGCCGGCGTCGAACGTATAGGCGGCCACTGTCTTGCCTGCGGCGGAATTGATTGCTTGCACGGCTCTGACTGCAGCCCTGGACACGTCGTTCATGTAGTAGATAGGTGGGTAGGTATCCGCACAGCACGCGTGGAAAGAGTTGGAATCCTTCATAGTCACCTCCGCGAACTTAGCAAAGTCCCTGTCCCTAATGGCGGCCTCCATGGCAGCCATATGGGCTGGAACCACGTTCGCAATGCGCCCTTTGAATAGATCGGACGTAGCAACAGTCTGCTGCATGCCTGACGTCGAACTAACCCCCTTCTTAGCGGCGGAAACGACTAGAACGAGGGCTCTCATGCTCGGCCAGTGCGACGCGGGTGCAACCTCCACCGCCTTGGAGTCTAGACCATCGTCTTGCTCGCCAGCCCTCCAAGCCACGTATCCACCAAACAGACTGCGGCAAGCTGAACCGCTACCTTGACGGGCGATTAGAGAGAGCTCGGTCGGAGAGCTTGGTAATTCATATAGATCTGCAATGGCACGAACTAGGGCGGCGAATCCAGCAGCCGACGAAGCCAGACCGGCGGCCGTCGGGAAGTTATTCTCGGAGACTATGCGGAGGGGCATCGTGGACAGCTTGGGCAGAGATGGGTTCTCAGCCTCGAGAGCAGCTCTTCGGGCACGTAGCTCTCGTAGACAAGCTTGCGTGCGAGCTCCCTTGATGTCGGACGGTTCGCCATTGAGGATAAGGGAATCTTCCTGACCTTGATAGGTGGCGGAGCATGTAGCAGTTGTGAGGGTTCGTAGATCTGCTTGTGACAGGGTAACAGACAGGGAGGAATTAGTAGGAAGATTCAATTTAGGATCCCGCTTTCCCCAATATTTGACCACAGCAATGTTCACCGGGGCGGTGGTGCTGGCTTTGTAGATTGTTTCCGTCATTGTTATAAATATTGCACAGGGTTTTGTTAAGTGATAGGAAAGAGACGGTCAGAAAGTATGTTTTTTGTTTTCCCTTTTTATATCGGTGGAGAATGGAGATTGGAGAATGGAGAGAGGTAGGGAGTGGGAGTGGGAGTGGGAGTGGAGGTGGGAAGGGATAGAGAGAAGATGGAGGGGTACGAAGTACTGTAAATGATCGCCAGGGGGGAGGGACAACACCTGAACCATTCAGGGGATTCAGGGACTTCTCCACAATGCTAAAATAAGCCTAACGCAATTAGTGAAAAAGTCAACGCCTGGTCTCAACAATTATGTACTTCGTGAAACCATACCTCACTATAACTTTTAATAAACCTTTTCCCCCAAAGTAAATTCAATCAATAAGAACGAGATAACAATAGTTACTCCTTTTCCGAATTCCCTCGGAGTTGGCCTCGGAGCCACCAGCATATACTTATGAGGTATATACGATTATATATACGACTCTTCCCATGGCCGCATGTGTCTCGGGGCGTCGATAGTCCCATCGGAAACAGGTGACGTGCTATCATCTGTACCACTATCATCTATCACATACTCGCGTATGATGTTGTCATCCAACATGATGTCGAGCTGTGAATACGCCGCGGCATCCTTTACTGTTGGCTCTAGCCCAGCATCTCTCACGCGGTAACTTATGAAATACAGGATGGCCTCAGCAAGGGCCTCAGCCCTAGTTTCCCGAGGAAGAACTGCAGGTTTCCAGTATATTTGATTTGGATCGGGATGGTAGCCTCGTCTTCGCTCAGCGTCAAATTCGGGCTCTCTTAAAGCTCATTCTTTGAGCATAATGTCGAGTACCAGAGGCGGATAGTCCCGGAGCAAGTGTTCGGGCCATGCGCCGCGCCTTACGTTGAAGCGCACGTCGGAAATGAAGGTGTTGGCTTTAAATATGATGTTACACACCGGGCATGTTCGCGGCTGGGGTCCGAAGACGTCATCTGCCGGATCAGGCAAGGACGCACGTCCTTGACGTACCTAGCCTCCACGGAGACGGGTTGCTTTCATCGACTCTATTCGCTTGGCCTTGGGTAGAGATAATCGAATCGACATTGAACCGACGTGCGTGACGGGGTGGTGGACGATTGTCACTGCGGGCCGGAATGCGATCAACCCATCCACGAGGAGGATCATAGAAGCTCTCTTTGGAATGGCTGGCTAGTCTCCTAGCCTGTCTCCTAGCCTGTCTCCTAGCCTGTATACTAGCCCGTAAAATGTCTATTGGTGAGGCCATATTGTCGGCATTTACCATTTCCTCGTCGGACCAGTCCGAAGGCGTCTGCTGTTCACCTATTTCGAACGCGAGGAACCCTCCATCATTCCAAGGGGACGCGATTGTAAATTTCCTTCCAGACTCGTTCCTTGTTCGAGTGACTGGATTGATGATCGAAGAGCACCTCAATCTCAGGTGATACCCGGGCGCGTAGCTCATAGCGTAACCTCTTACAGTACTCAAAGTTCTTGTTATATTGGTTAAAAGGCCCGTGTGGGCGCATGAACAAGAAGTTTTGCTGTACGAATAAGAAGTGTTCGTCAATCGCGTCCAGAGTTCTAGCGAGGGCTACTCCGCCCAGCAACGAGGTAGGTGAAAGCTGAAGAGGACCGTCCACCTGTGACGTCTCTGGTTGAAGAACGACTGGCATATATGAAGATATAATGAAGCAGTGATTATTGTTCCTGTGTGGAAACGAGTGCTGGTGTTATTCAAAGATAGGTGAAGGGGGTGCAAAGGTGAAGAGAGTGTAAAGGTGAAAGCACTGTAAAGGTGAAGGGAGTGCAATGGTCCAGAGGATAGGCAACAAGCCAATTCTAGCCACCTTTATATAAACCCCGAGCCCTTCTCAATTACCTAGCATATCACTGCACATCTTGAAGCCATCGTTTAGTTTCAAACTATAAAACCAACGCTTCACCTCTTGTCAAAGCTGTCGAATCATAGCGTTGCATTGCGCTATGACGCCACAACGACTATGTAGATACCCTCGCCATCGTCAAAGGGGGCATACCCGATTACACGTTTTTAGATCTTCAAGTCTATAAGGCCTATAGAATTAATGTCATTCGGATTCGCAACCTCGGGAGTACCGAGTTTTTATCAGGGACATCTGTTATTGAGCATATGAAGATACGAACAATTATGGGTGTTGTATCCTCACGCAAAGACAGGGTGATAGCTAACCGACAGCAGCACTGACCTGTTGGAAACTTAGAACGAAAGTATAACACTTACTTCTGTGTCAACTTGTACTAGTAGGAACCTTAGTATCTTAGGAGCGGTCTTTAAACATATCATAATCATCATATGGTACATGGTGCATTGACCTAATAATGAAGTATATTTTATATAATTACGTGGCTTGGAAAGCGTTAGACTTTATTCCTCATTAACACTCCCAGTTCCTCTCCCCTGCGAAAGTATTAGGGACCAGTGTATATGAACCATTCGCCGGTTTCTGTGTCGTGTGTCAAATTTGATCTCTTGACCGTGCCACCTTTCAAGCTACCAGCTTCTACATCCCCAACGGCAGGAGATCCGTCAGTTCGATGTAGCCGGTTCTCACCGGCAAGAACTGTAAAATTTGCCAAAGGAATCTCATATCCGTTACGGCGAGTGGTCGTTGGGACGCCGAAGAAGGCGGCATCTACTTTCTCGTGGCTGATAGACAGCTCGTAGTACCCACGGTAGTATAGATCCTGCCATTGTAGCTCTTCGTTTGCAGTTGTGAGCCACTCCGAAAGAGCAATAGCAGCCTCTACTGTCACGTTCTGTCCTATCGGGGACGGAGAGCTAACAGCTGAACCAGCAAACTCGACCCCCATAGATCCAGATCCAGTAACCGGGTCGTACGGGTGTTCGTCGAGCCAAACGAGATCAGAAACCCAGGACGCATGCGAATCTCCGGCTAGGAACACATTGTTTCCTATGTTGTTCTCATATAAGGTTTTGAACGTGCGATTGCGGTTCGCTTGATACCCATCCCATTGGTCATAATTGAAAGGCAAGTCATCACTAGTAGCCAGGCTTTCGTTCATTCGGCTGAAAATGATCTGGTTACCAATTATACGCCACGTAGCACCTCGAGTGGAACTTTCACGTAGAGTACGATAAAACCACGCTTCTTGTCGAGAACCCATAAGGGATCGGCTAGCATCGTTATGTATGTCGCCGAGATATTCGGTATTCCAATATAAATCAGTAATGCTCCGATCGTACTGTCGAGTGTCAAGCATGACAAGGTCTAATAAGTTTCCAAACTTAAAATTGCGCCAGATTCGTAGATTGTCATCCATGTCGACTTGTCGAATAGGCACTTTGGAACGACATAGTTAGCGTTAGACATTCATCGTGCGACCTTTACACAAACTCACTCCACTCAAAATAGGCACGAACAGCATTCATCTTTCGTTGATCGACTGATACACCACCGTCCATTACGAACGATTCTTCAGTATTGTTCAAATGGGCGGAACCGTCTTTCCAACTGTTATCAGCCACCTCTGTTCGCGGCTATAGTTAGCTCTGAAGATCACGCGTCCCAATATGGCGAACGTACCATGGTCGTCCCAGACAGGTATCCAAGGGAAGCTCTGGTGATTTTCGAGCAGGTCAAGATCAGTTCTGTAGGTGGCGATGCGTTTTCGATAATCGTAAAGACTACACGTACGTCAACCCAGTCACAAGGTAGAGTCCTTTCAGTGTTTTCAGTGTTACGCACGTGAATATCTCCTTATTCGGAAGCGGGATTCGATCGTAGGCATTGCCCCAGCCATACTCGCCATTAGCGTACTCGTATATATAATCGCCTAGGTGGACTACATAATCGACGGAGTCTTTCCTGACCGTATTACCGTATGCGTTGAAGAAACCAAATGCTGCACAATGGAAATTAACTACTAAAGTGACGATAGAAACCAGCCAAGCTGAAACTCACGATAGTTGCTGCAAGAATATACGGCAAGTCTCACTGGCTCCAGTACCTCGTCATTCGCAGAAGGGATTGTCTTAGTGCGACCAACAGGAGAGGTATTATTTGAGTTGCACACGTTGAATTGGTAGTCTAACGCCAGCCAAGTCAGTGAAGTTCCAACTCAATGCTCTCGCCTGCTTGGCTGAGCCGTATCGCTACTTACAATAAGTTGTGGAAGACTTCAATTTTTTGGCTTCAACCTATAACGACTATTAACTTATTACTCAAGGTGCGCTTGGGTATAATCTTACCTTGACTGTATAGTCGATATCGGAACTGGTATATGCCCTCCCAGAGTCTACGATGTCTTCGAATGTTGAAGTACCGCTTATTTTCCAATCTACACAGACCGGCTTGTTGCTCTTTGCCACGAATTGCTCAGTCGAGTGATCGTAAAGGGAGACGTAGCCTGACACGGTTATATTGCTCCTGTCATTATCACTAGATGGCGCGGCCCTAGTCCAGAGAATGACGCTATCGTCATATGGGTCGCCAGAAGCAACGCTGTGAGTAAAATTCAACTGGCTCGGATCCCAATGTGAGTTCGCCTCGGTCCGTTTAGCCACTTTACTGATTGATACGCCAAGCGATGTATGACGCCTTGAGGGAGAAAAGTAGTTTAGATTACCGGTGAAGGCGGCCGAAGCGGCACCAACGAGGAAGAGATAACGAATACTATAAACCATGATGAATGGCGATATCTGATCGTGTTCCTTACCGTCCGCCTGGATGGAATGGGGAAATGCTCCCTTGAAGAACTAACTGTCCATTATATTTACCCAAGGCACTTAGGTAGATCTGACATCACTTATAAAGTATACCGAATACCGACATGCTTGCAGTTGCAGATCGAATACGAAGGAAAGAAGAGCTGAGAGTAATCGGCAAAATATGATTGGATAGAGCTCCAACAAGCTCAACTTTTATTAATTAAAGTGCAGTACCTGACTTGCATAGTGCCATGGCAGGTACCATAATAAAGAGTCAGCTCGTGGATGCGCCTCACAACGTGGGGAATTTCTCTATTCTCATTGGGCCGTTGTATATATGTTGCCGGACCCGAGCCGGATTAAGTCGTACGTTGGCTGAATGCGTGGAAGATTGGAAGATTTCCATTTGGCATTCGGATAGATCACCTAACGTACCATAAGGGTAGTCCCGAGGAGTTAGTTAATTGATATGGTATCTCAATCATATCTCAACCACTTCGGCGACAAGGCACGAGATATGTTGCATATGCTTTCTTGAGAATGAGTAAGTTGTACGATAAGAACTTCAAATAAATAATTAGTTACCAATAGATAAGTGAAAGTTTACTTAATCTTGGCACTCTCCCCTTACCTTTTACCCCTACCTTTCCCCGCTTTAGGTATGCTGTATTGTACCTTGTATTCCTTTTGTACAGTGTGCTAAACTATGTTATTACGTAACTACACAGTCCAGATCTATGAGCTAACGCTGCTAATAAATGGTTAATAAGCTCTTGGATTTCTTTTCCTTTTCTTCTTCTCTTTGAGACTTTATAGGTCATTATATCATTGACTTTATTGTCTACCCTTTCCATCCTGGTCTTTAGCGTGACAATTATCATGTTTTGGATCAATTCAGCTCCGAGCACAGTCTGGAATTACTCCGGACTGTTAAAAGCCAATACTGTCGGAAAGGGAAATAAAACAATCGGTTAAGATGCGGGATGAGATGGAAACGGCCCCTGATTTACAGCTGCTATAGCTAGCTACCTTAGCTCCTATAGCCTATGGATCCTGATTATCTCCAGCGGACGCTAACGTGTAGCGTGGGTTACAGCGAGTTCTCTCCCTCACGAATGAACCTATCAACGTCAGATTTGGGTAGCACGAGCATTGGCACGAGGGTTCTCTATCTTGATTACATGTGCTAGCAACAGCTTAGCTCTGTATGGTGAGAACGCCTCATGCACTTATACTACTTTGCCTTTACAAGCTATTACCTTAGACCCTACCCACAGCAGATCTTTGCTTACCTACCTACCTAGTTAGGAATCCCTCGTCTTATCTCTTGGTAAGAAAGAAACACCGAGCTCTCATGCGCTAGATACGACGGATATGGCCATTACGTAGTTGGTCAATCGCTTATTAGCGGGACGCTCAATTTCGATCTGGAAACTTATTGTGAAAACTCTCGGTTTGCTGTTTTTCAACATTTACGCCCATTGTTTGGTGTTAATTTACCTAGATACTATCCATTGCCATCCTCAGCATATTTTCTCTTCCTATTATGCTCGAGTAACACAGATATATATATACATATACATATATCCCACGTATAAGTTTGCGTTCGTCTGAATTACGTTGTCCACCTATGTTCCTTTCGCGCAGATTATTCCAATTTAGATCGAACTAGCAGCAGGAAGTGCTCGATTCAAACATGGCAGCAGAAGAAAAGAGAATCGGAGGGTCAGAAGATCCTGGCCTTTTTGAAAGAGACGTCGGAAATATCGAGGATTCTACCATAGGCGACGCCATAGATATTCTGGCGCTTCAAGACTTGGATCCTGCTCTTAACGCGAAAATGCACCTTGTCAATAACGTGAGACCAGGCCTACGAGTGTCGCTGATAGCTGGCGACTAGATCACTAACGCACTTCAGGCCATTGATGAGATTGGTTGGACCAATTATCATTGGAAACTATTCGTTTTGAACGGGTTTGGGTAAGATATTATCGTCGCTCGAAACCAAAAAGGCTATCGAATACTCACGCGACCTCATAGTTACGCAGTCGATTCCCTAGTACTCTTACTCCAAAGTAATATAGCAATTCCGGCCTACAAAGAGTTTGGCGAGGTCGGATATGACAATGCCCAGACGATTGCTACGTACGTTGGAATGCTGGTCGGGGCGCTCTTTTGGGGTATGGGTGCCGATATTATAGGGCGTCGTTGGGCGTTCAACGTATCTCTCTTCATTTCCGCCGTAGCAACAATTGTCTCGGGCGCGGCTCCGAATTGGGCCTCCCTAGGCTTTTTTACCTCTATGGTCGGATTTGGAGCTGGTGGCAATTTGATATTAGACACCACTGTCTTCCTCGAGTACCTCCCCAGCAACAAGCAGTGGGCGTTAACATTTCTGGCCTGCTGGTGGGGTATCGGACAAGCTGTTACGGGCTTCATCTGCTGGGGCTTCTTAGGTGAGATTGATCCAAAGTCATAAGATGTTGAGGTTCTCATATATGATACAGTTCCACCTCAGTGGAATTGTGAATCTGCCGATAATTGTCCAAGAGAATCCAACCAAGGGTGGCGATACGTCATGTACACTTCCGGAGCTCTCGTTTTCGCCATGTCTATTGCACGTGTCACCGTTGTTCGTCTACAAGAGACTCCAAAATACCGCTTGGGAACCGGAGAAGATGCTGAGCTGGTAGAGACACTGCATTCGATCGCCAAGAGATATAATCGACGCTGTACGCTGACCTTGGAAAAATTGGAAGCTTGCGGGACAGTAAAGACTGCGCATAGCGAGAGTCGCTATTCGTTTCAGGAAAGTTTCGTTCATCTTTCTGGACTCTTCGCTACGACTAAAATCGGCATTTCAACCGTGCTCATTTGGATATCGTGGACGCTGATTGGACTTGCGTAGGTCCAAATTGGAAAAGCTTGTATCTCCGGTCCGAAAGCTAACCATTGGTCTTCAGCTACCCTCTTTTCTACGTCTTCCTAAAGTATGTTCAAATACCTACTAAGTAAGACTCTTATCTAACGCGATATTAGCACGTATCTTGCCAGCCGTGGTGCTTTAGACGGCGTTGGAACTTTCGACACATGGCGTAATTATACACTTACGAATATATCCGGCATCTTTGGGCCAATCCTAGCAGCATATATGTGCAACCTTCGACTCCTCGGCCGAAGATACACCATGGTCATTGGTGCGCTAGTAACTATGGTCTTCTTCTTCGCCTATACAGCTGTATCAACCCCAGCGCAGAACGTTGGGTTTAGCTGTGCTATTGCATTTTGTCTGAATATCTACTACGGAACATTATATGCGGTACGTAAACCCCTTAGTTTGAAAGATGCAAGAGAAGGAAACCACTAACTCGATGTTTCAGTATACCCCTGAGGTGCTACCGAGTGCCCATCGTGCGACAGGAAATGGCATTGCAGTCGGCTGTAATCGTATAATGGGTATTATCTCCGCGGTTGTCGCTAGTACTGCCGACACTGGCACTGTCGTGCCGATTTATATATGTGCAGCTCTCTTTCTTGCCATGGCGGTTATTAGTGCTGTCTTCCCGTTCGAGCCATATGGACGGAGGAGCTCATAATCTTATGCGATTTTCATATAAGAAGCGATTCATGCGTAATGACGCATTGGCTTCCTAGGCACCTCTCCAGCCTATCCGTGGTCCTGCTGAGCTTCGAGCGTCAGGGTTCTGGATTCGCAATGACGCGATAGCACGATACACGCCTAGAGTTGGATCCGGATGGTCCAAGGTATCTTAGGGCGAGGATTCGTAGGTTACTAATAATAGCCAATACCCCCCAGTAGGGTGCTAGGTTAGTTACTTCGACTAATCCTGCCACAGAGAGCTGCGGATATTAGTAGGCAGTACTCCAATATAGTCACAACATATATATACGTTAATAACCAGTCTAACTATGAGTTAACGTCGTCAAATACTGGATATCTACTATTGTTACGAGGCTTCATATCTCCCGCCCAATACCGTTGCTTTAATAGTACTACAAAACGTACTGAAGTAGTATTATCACTATAGATGAGGTGTATCTTATCTTGATGTATGGATATGTTTCATCGAGCTACCTGATTATCGATCTATTCCATGACACCTATGGCTAGAGAGACCGTTAACATGACATCAAGTACCAAGAATCATTTATGTGAACAAGAGTGTTTTAGATTAAAAGCCGTATTAAGCTTATGTAGATTAAGGCCAGAGGTCTCACGTGAAATCCAACATATCTTAGCATTACTATCCGGATCCCTATTTCCGAGATACATAAAGTGTACACGATGCGTCCTGCCCTAACAATTCTTAAATTCCGATTAGAAGACGATATTTCAGAGCAAGTCTGTTATTTGTCATTCTCGAAAATATGTCCTAAAGTAGGCGTAGTGTAAGACAGAAAATAGTAAGACCGCGTCATCTCTTTTCTCTACCGACCATGGAAAAGATTAATAGAGACGAATCTCACCTAAAAACATAAATAAGGCATGCTTATATCTCTGTTGACTGTAACCAAGATAACATTACATGCTCTGAATATGGAGTGGAAAGATGAAAACAGCTTACTCATTGCTATACGGTCTTTATTAATTATAGCATGTACGCGATACGCATTAGCAAATACGCAATGAAATCTATTATGAATCCATACTGACGTAAAATAGAGATGTTCTAGGGATCATCTGCCCATCAGCCTCTGCACCAGGCATGGCAATCTTCCACATCCCCTAGTCGTTCTCGACGGAGCAGACACACACACACACACTCTCTCTCTCTTCTTCACAACTCATCCGTCCCTTTCCTCCCCGCTTGCAAACTCAAACTTACTACTCTCCCTCAACCACGCCTCCAAATTCTGCACCCGCGGCTCCTCGGCCCTCAGCGCATCGATATCGACGCCGTACCCATCCGTCTCGAACCAGCGAAACATAGACCCCACGTTGTTGCGCGCCACCAGCCCGCGCACCGCCCACCCCACCACAGTCCACGCCTGCGGGAGCGCCGCTCCTCCTCCCCCGGCTACGCGCGCGTACACGGCGCGCGCCTCCTCGAGCGTCAGCTCGTCGCCTGCGAGCCCGAGGGCGCGGTTGCGGAAACGCGGATCGGCGCGGTGGAGAAGGGCTTTAGAGGCGAAGACCCCGATGTCCCGCACGCTGACGAGTTGTAGCTTGCAAGACGCGGACATGGTGCTCCAGAGGCTGGCGAATACCATGCCGAAAGTACCGCCTGGGTTCACTGGGGAGAGGAGGGGAGGTGGTTAGAAAGGTGGCTGGCTGATTGAGTGAGTGAGTGGTGGGGGATTTGTGAGGGGTAGGTAAAAAGGGGGGGTGAGAGCCGTGCACTGGTACAGTGATCAAACCCCTGGTGGGTAACGCAAGGGGATGGGGGATGGATTGGAGCCAAGCGGTTCAGTTGGGTTTTTAAGGGAAGTAGGTCACTTACGATTATCCATGAAAGCGACAGGCCTGAGGATCGTGTAAGTCAGTTTACCATCCGAGCCCTCGGCGACGGTGCGCAGATGCAGCTCAACATTGTGCTTCTGCGCAAAATGTGGGACATCAGTAGGCGTGTCCCAGGACTTCGGTTCGCCGCCACGATCTACGCTCGAAAAGACGAAATGCGTCGGTTTCTCAGGCGAGGCGTGCGCACACGCCGCATCGACGAGGTGTGTGGCCTGCGGTTCCTCGTCCGGTGGCGTCGTGTAGCTGAACACGGCATCGATGTCCGGGTGAGCCTCGAATATGGGCTCCGGATGCCGAGCGTCGCCTTCCACGACGCTTAGGTCTAGGGAAGGGTACTTGGAGGGCAGGGCCTGTGCTTTGGGCGAGGAAGCCGTCCGAGTTAGCGCGAGGACCTTGACCTTGGCCTCGGGCGTGGTCGATAGCTGTCGAGAAAGCTCGGCGAGCACGGAACCCCCTTGTTGGCCTGTCGCGCCGACGACGAGGATGGTGCATGGGGCGGTGGACATGGCGGCTGCTGGTACCCGAACGAGGAGAAGCCAAGGAAAATGATGAGATAGGTGCCTAAGAGTATGAAGGATAGAAGGTCGACCGAAGTTGGCCAAGAGTTAAGTTGCCCTTGGAAGTGCAAAGAGCGGCTTGTGTAAAAGGATATTAATAAAGTTCTGGCTGGTCCGGATATCCCTAGAACTAACCCAAGCCACCAATACAATCTAATCTAATCCTTCAAAGCCTTGTTTTAGTGGTGATTAAGATTCTACTGATACGCATCTGCCGTGTGCGGCGTGCGGTTTCTAGTTGTAAATACAATCCTCGAGCTCATTATTACAACCGGGCACAAGTGACGCCGGCCGGACAAAGCTAGGCCGAGTCCTCAGCTACCTAACCTAAGGTATATGTGATAACTTATGGGTGGCGCAGCGTGAAACAAGGGAACAACATAAAAAACCTATCGATGAGGTCAATGATCCAGAGCCAACCGTGCCACCAATTTAGCTCGATTTTCCCTTTCGGTCCCGAGCTTAAGGTATGGTGAATCGGGAACTCGCATATGGCACGTTTCATGGATTCCGGTAAACGAATCAAAGGAAGCACAGGTTATAAGCCACACGTCGAACACGTCCAAAGTTTGTGTGAATAGGTACGCATCGACAACTTCTAATGTGCCTTGCTCCTTAAGTGAACACTTGCTTGGTTACAGAAAATACCTGCGTGTATAATGTATGATATATGATGTATGATGAGGGCGAGTCTTTGGCAAACTCCATGCCTGTCTTTCTTGTCTCGTGGAATATCGTGTGGTACTACTACCATGTAGTAAAGTCGAAATCCGGTTAGAAGAAAGAAACCCGAATCTAAGCCTTTCGCTCTCTCCGCCATGCATATGCATCAGTGCCCTCTCGTAATAAATGCATGCAGCGCCTGCTCCGAGTCTAAGGTCGTTATCAATGCGCCACCGAATGCAAGAGCAATGAAACTGGTGTCATTAATCATCCTTCTGCAAATATCCTCACATGGACGGCCCATCCCACGCGTCTCTCCTAAGTCGGCAGAGCCATGCTCGCTTATGCGGGAAAGATATTTCCCTTTCCTTCGCGAAGCCTCCGTTCTGGAGGTGCTGAATAAATCTAGGCACGAATTAATAAACCGGCGGACATCCGCGTGTGGTGGTGGTGGTAAGACTCACTTCGTATTGTCAACCCTTGGTTCGAGGCAGATATTCATCGTACGGTAGTCTGCCTGTAAGCACCAGTGAACGATGCTCGAGAGCCAGTGCTGAACTCTTCCCCTCGCCCACTCCTCTCCAATCAACACGTGGATGCCTCTGTCGAAGTCCTGCGCATCGTTGCCCATATAATGTCCTACGTTGTCCTCCTTAACCCAATAGATTTCGAAATATCCGAAGGGCACGCCGTCCCACATCCCGATGGCCGGGAATGAATGGCGCGACTTGAGAGCGTCCGAGAGAAAGTTGGGCTGGTACGCGCCCCAGAAGGCCTGGACTCTGGGGTTAGAAAACCACATCTGAAGGAGTGAGGTGTCGGATAAGGTATTTAGGTGTGTATTATCCCGTTCGGCAGGCCCCATAGGTCCAAGGCAAGGGATAGGCTTTGGTGAGAGGGATGCTACGCGAAATGATAGGTACTTCCCCACACTAGGTACGAAGCGAGTATAAAATATCTCTCCCATATGCGGTGGCTTCTGTCGCAGCGGATGCCGGACATTGTTTGTTAATATGTACTGCAACGGTGCAGGAGGATAGAAGGTTGGGAGGTGAGAGGATGAGCGATATGGCCCGATGGGGGAAGATGGCACTTCAGCAGCTAACTGGTTAGACATTGTTGCCAGCTGACCTGCATCGCTTCTAGCCGGAGATGTAGGCCGGCTACTACTAGGCGACCCAGGATACGACGAGCTGTGCTTCAAGGGCTGCAGAGTAAAAAGAAATAGGCCGCTGTGGATTTGCCAGAATGCTCGTCGAGTAACGAACATTTTGTCCCATCCATGGTTATGCTCACAAGAACTCTCTCCGACAGCAGAGTCCAGGCTTGACATCAGGCCCATTCTCTCTAGTTTCGGTATCATGTTCCGCGTGCGTAGGACACCATCCCGTTTAATTCTGATGCGCCACTCGCCCCTAGGTCTTGCTTCCGGGGGAGCATGCTTAGACTGTTCCGTCAAAACGTATGGTGATGGTTCAGGCTGCTGGAAATACCAGTACAGAGTCACCCACAGAAACATGGCTATCTGTCGGGAGTGGCTGGCGAGAGGCTTATATTCGCCATCCGGAGGATTCGAGATAGATGAGATGAAAATAGTGTCATTTTGCAAGGTCGGCTTGTTGTACTTGTGAATATGGCTGTGCCTGGAGCGGGGCTCATTCGCGGAATCTTTAAGGGTGGGATCCTGAAGATGGTCTTCAGGACGATCTTCACTATGTATAACGACAGTCCAACCAATAGGGAATGGCCCGTGGTGGTAACTGAGCTCGTTATACTTGAAGAATAAGCCAGAGAACACGGGTTGGACTGTGAAACTCTGGCCATCTGGCAGATGGACAATAGACGGGGCCATTTGATTTGAGATAGGTTGGGATGTGAAACTTAGGTTGAAGTGAATACTAGGTAGATATGTATGTTGTAAATTATGTAGAATGTGAAATCTATATGAGGCGGGGGTTATCACTCATTTCGGCGCAATAGATTCGCTAATAACACTTAAGTATTAAAATGGGTAGCTCAACAGACGTCGTGCTCATGTGATGGATGAGTCCAAGAAGAGGCAATAAGATTTCATCGTGAGAGTGTAAGAGGCAGTGGAAGCCGAAAGAAAAGATAAAAATATGTACCTACCTAGGCTAACCTAGGCTAACCTAACCTACATATGTCATGTATAGCCAATGTGGGACGACGTCTACATGATACCAACAGATTACATACAAACGGCGACTCCGTTTCGTTGGCTTTAGGAAACGTCATACCACTAGACTTGGCGCGTGGAAAAACAACAGTATACCATACATTAGGGAGTAAGTAGGTAGCTCTGTTTGGTAGTTAGCGGGGTTCGCAGTTCGCAGTTTGCAGTTTGCGGTTTGCGGAGTTTCCCTGTTAAAAAACTTGTCTTGTCATGAGAGGGGAAGAATCAGGGGATTGTGGTGTTAGTGGTGTTGGTTTGGGGGCTGTTCGGGGTCTTGGGAGTTGGTCTTGGGGTCATCTTGATCTGGAATTTCCCCTTTCCCCAGATTCTTCCCTCCCGACCCTGACAGCCGCATGCATCCATCGTCGTCGTGACTTATACGTAATGTACTTAGGTATCTACAGCCCTAAGAGATAAGAGACACGGTGGCGTGTGTCATACCAAGTCGTAGGTATCCAATAAGAAAATAATTATTGTTAAGCACGTATTACCGTAGAAGTAAGCGTCTTTTCATAGTGGAACATTTTAAACTGTCGGGTTATAGCGAGGTTAGTTAGGGTCTTTTCTCATCGAAATGTACGTGTAGGTAATCAGGTAAGTTGGCAATGTATTAGGTAAAATGCAGAACCCTGCAGCGGACACACTGGCGGGATAATCTGTAAAATGTTTAATGTTTGCTTGACAAAAATAAAGTGAGGAAGGAACCGGGATGGAATCCTTCAGCCCAATAGCCCCATTTCCATATGATCCCCACCTACGAATAACCCCGATACAACCTTGTACTTGCATATCTAAATGAGGAGAGATGAGGGGAGATAAGTGGGATGATATATGCAACAATTGATATGTGCAATTGATATGTGAGGAGGGGTGAATCAATTATCAATTTTCATGTCTCTCGTTTTGATAAGAGAACCCCGACATCGAAGCACCTTCTTATGAGTCACCCAACTATTTTATATGCGACTGCGACTGCGACTTGATTCATACATCTAGATTTCACTTCTTCTCTAAACGAGAAACAGAAATCATGGCGTCGAATACCAAACCTGGCGAGAACATGCTATGGGGAGGCCGCTTCACCGGTACGTGTAATACCTTGTATTAGTTGTTCGTGTTCGTGATCGTGCAACATCCTCCACTAGCACCAAAACACTCACTTTGAACTTGGAGTTTCCGACTTGGTAACTATACTAATTCTTGTCCCAGGTGGCCTTGACCCCCTCATGGTGGCTTACAACGAGAGTATCCACTTTGATAAGAAGCTCTACAAGCAAGACATCTTGGGTAGCATCGCCTTCGCCCGGGCTAACAAGAAGGGCGGCATCATAACAGAAGGTGAATTCGACAAGATTGAAAAGGGCCTGCAGGCTGTTATGAAAGAGTGGGATAATGACGAGTTTGTCATTGTACCTGGCGTAGATGAGGTGTGTGCTGCTTGTTGTGTTCCTGCTTAGAACCTCAAAATCTAGCCTAGAGAAGGGAAAGCAACTAATTGCTTATAAAAAAGGACATACATACTGCCAACGAGCGCCGTCTAGGCGAGATAATAGGCAAAGACGTAGCCGGCAAGCTCCACACTGGGCGTAGCCGCAACGAGCAAGTCGCATGCGACATGCGTATGTGGCTGCGGGACGAGCTGCGCAAGATCGAGGGCCACATCGTGACCTTCCTCCAAGTCGCTGCCGACCGCGCCGAAAGCGAGGTCGACCACGTCATGCCCGGCTATACACACCTGCAACGCGCCCAGCCCATCCGTTGGAGTCACTGGGTCATGTCGTACAGCTTAGCCTTCGCCAGCGACCTAGAGAGACTGCGCGAGGTTGTCAAGCGCGTCAACAAGAGCCCCCTAGGATGCGGTGCCCTCGCCGGCAACCCGTTCAACATCGACCGCGATATGATGGCCGCGGAGCTGGGCTTCGAGGGACTGCTGTGGAACTCAATGGGTGGAGTGGCGGATAGGGACTTCGTGGCGGAGACCCTGCAGTGGGCGTCGATGCTCATGCAGCACGTATCGCGATGGGCCGAGGACTTGATTATTTACTCGACCGCCGAATTCGGCTTCGTGCGGCTAGCCGACGCGTACTCGACCGGCAGCTCGCTGATGCCGCAGAAGAAGAATCCAGACAGCTTGGAACTACTGCGGGGCAAGAGCGGCCGTGTGTTCGGCCAGATGGCTGGGTTCATGACGACCCTTAAGGGTCTGCCTAGCACGTACAACAAGGACTTGCAGGAGAGCTGGGAGGCCATGCTGGACACGGTCAAGACGGTTAGCGACAGCGTGCAGATCGCGACCGGCGTGCTGGCCACGCTCGCCATCAAGCCCGAGAAGATGCGAGCCGCTCTCGACCCCTTTATGCTCGCCACCGACATTGCCGACTACCTCGTCCGCAAGGGAGTACCGTTCCGCGAGACGCACCACATCTCGGGTCGCGTAGTCGCCCTATCCGAGCAAACCGACACTCCCATGAACGAGCTCACATACGACCAGCTCAAATCGGTCGACGCCCGTTTCGAGAAGGACATCGCCGAGTATTTCGACTACGAGCGCAGCGTCGAGATGCGATCTGCCAAAGGCGGCACTAGCAAGGAGTGCGTTCTAGAGCAGATCAAGGTTCTGAGACAAATTCTTAATGCCTAATCTTGTGTAATATTCTCTACCGGCCGGGCGGTTTCTATTTGACGAATCCGGAAGGTCAAGGGTCAAAAACGTGCGTTTTTTTCAGGGGTAATTCTTATGACGGATGACCAGAACAGGAAAAGAAGAAAAATTAGGTATAGACAAAAATTGGCCTTCTCATCCAAAAATTTGTGCCTTTCACGCGCGTTAAATTGCATAGCACAAGATTCTCAAATTTGATCTCGATGGGAATAAACTACGCTTTGTTCTATAGATATATATTCTATGTGTATTCGGCGGGTATCATGACTCATTACTCTCATCCGGCTTATGTCTCGCATTTTCTTTGCGATTCTTATCATCGTGCTCGCGATCGTTTTCGCCCTTCCTCTCCTCGTGCTCAAGTACTTCCTTAACATCCGCCCCGCCGAGATCCGTCATCTCGTCCCAATCGACATCATACTCCTCCGCCACGGTCCTGATCTCCCGCCTCAGCGCATTCACGTCGTGCAATAAAATCTCCCACTTCTGCAGGTCAAACCCGCGCTCCTGGTACAGGATGTTCTGCCTCCGCGTAACGGTAATCTTGAGCGCGGCCTGGTAGCTCAGGTCCCGGCTGATGAACAGGAACCACAGATAACCGCCCATCATGGTACTGTTCATGGGTTAGTTAATAATTAGTCCTAAGTAGAAGAGGAGTAGGACGACATGCCTTAAACCGGCGAGATACGTGACAGGTTCCATCAAGTCCCAGCCAAGGTCAGTGTGGAAGGTCAGGAAGTAAACGGCGCCCCACCAGCCCGACAGAACGACGAATCCGGCTTTTGCGATTCGATGGACGCCGCGATGGGCAAGCATATCGCACTCGTGCTTGATCTTGGACAGCGCCTCGATCCTGCGGGACATGCGGCGCAGGCGGACGCGCATGTAGTGCGTGCGGTCGTTGAAGCTAGGCACGTCGACGCGCATCTCGGCGTCGTGGCCGGAGATCTCGATGGCGAACTCGCGGCCGCGCGCGGCGTCGCGGATGAAGTCGCCGATCTCGGTGGAGCTGCTCCAGCGCACCCAGTCCTTGTGTTCGGCGGGGGTGTCGGCGCCCTCGCGGCCGAGGCCCGAGTACGACGCGATGTTGGATTTGTTCTTGCCGATCCCGATCTCCCGCCCGGTCTCGTCTCGCTCGGAGCTTTCCGCTAGGAAATACACGCTGGGCATCTTCTCGCGGCCGTCGCTGTCGCGAATGGGTGGGAGCTCGGCTTGGATTAGGCGCTCGAGGTAGGATAGGGGTTGTTGGGGGTGGACGAGCAGGGCTAGGGGTTGGATGTCTTCGTTTTGGGCGAGAGATCGGAATTCCCCTTTATTGCCATGCTCGTCGTGTGTCGCATCGACGGGTAGAGGCAGGATCAGTTTTAGGAGTCGGGTTGGAGTGGTTAGTAGTTTGCCTGGTCGATCATTAGTCCATTGGATCATTTGAAGGGCAATGGAACATTTATATTTATTACCCTTGGTCATGGTCTTATTCATGGTCCTCCTCGACTCGCTGACGGGAGGCTCGTCGGCGCCCTCCCTCTGCCAGGGACGTTTGATCTGCTGCTTCGTAGCATCTTCAATTCCGGATCTTACTTCTTGCTCGTGAGCTTCTTGGTCCCGCTTGTTTGTTTCCCGTACCGTCTCGTCGTCGAGCTTCTGTTTTCTCGTATATGGTGTAGTTGCAAAACATCGATACGATGAAGGTACCACTATTTTTGCTTTCTCCGGCGATATTATAGTCGAAGTATAAATATTGCCAAGACGGCGGCCAGTGAACTGCCGTATGCTCGAGGCTGTCAACTGCGAAAACGCTCTAAACGCATAGCTCATCGCGCTCTATTTATCACGACGTTTTCAAATAATTAATTATTATTTTTTTTATTTTTTTATCTTTATTTTTATTTTTTTCACTTTGGTAGGTCATAAGTACTTTGTACAGAAGAGTTGACTTACATTTTACCTTGCGCAGCTCTAGAAAGCTGGCGGACTAAATGCTCCATAGCATGTTTTTTCGTCGCAAAAGCCCGTTGTCCACTATTTCGTACTTGTTTTGCTCATGACGTCACAGGGCATTATCTCTTAACCAGTCGTCAACGCAGCACGTGGTTATCTCTTCTTTAGGAGGTAGTTAGCGAAATTACCTAAACCAAGGCCATTTCCAGATTTACAGCGGGTCTACAAAGACGAAATCCAACAAAGTTATAGTGTTGCAGTGTTGGTAACAAAGCCGCCGCATAGCTGTCGCACCTTTTTTCTTTTACAACTATTACGCTATGGAAACCAATTTTGATACAAAACCTTACCTAAGGTATAGGTACAAGGTTAATTATTTTTCTGGCTTTTAAAAGACGATCTAATTGATTTACATAACTAGAACATGATATCCGAACAAAACTTATATTGCCCCACGAGGGAACTTTTTTCGAAATGATCCCTTACCTAAGGTATACAAGTGAGCAAGCGAGGCGCGCCACATGTAAGACTTAAAACCATCCGATGAGCGGTCCAAGCCCAGCGCCACAATGATGCCAGGTACCTAGGTAGGCAACAAAATTGGCGAGCTGGTCTTGTTATGTTCACCTTCCTCCTTGTCCAATATGACCTTGCTCGGTTTTCGGAAGCAGTCGGCCGACGACGAACAATGCTGTGAAACCGCCTGCGCCACTTTTGTTCACCCAGCAGCCCAGTAAGGCAGTTAGAAAGAGACCACTGGCCAAACGAGTCTCAGTCCTAAATCCACATCCCCACGTTTCTTGGCTTCTTAGGCTCTTTAGGTAACTCATAAGGTTTCCATCTTTAAATGTAAGTCTAAGTCCAAGTCTGCAAGACAAATTGTTCCAAGTAATTACTATATTGAACAAATCAGTATCTAGTTACGCATTTTATAAGATTCTACAAAGTCATGATGCATCTAACTAATTAATTAAATAATCCAAATAACAACTCGTTGGTTTTTGTCTTCTTTATCCCGCGGCGCTTCCCAGGCGTCTATTTATAGGACAAGCTGATCCTCCGCAAAACATAGCCCTACGTTGCGTACCAATTGAAGATTGGGCCGTGGGCTGTGTCTCACAACAGAATCAATCGAAACCAATCATAAATAAAACAAACGCGCGTTTCGCCTAGCGCTTATATAGACAACACTGCTACCGTCCTACCATTCCTGTGCTAGGGATATACCCGCTGCCAACTCGGCTGTCTCGGATACATGTAGGACTTTACCAATGCAGTTATAAATGTAGTTATATACGAGACATGCGCATCGGGGGCTGCAAGGCGGGCATCATTGGAAAATAATTCAACTTATACATAGGTAGACTAACACCCATAGCCGGTTAGCTACTTGTAATAATCAATCTCACCTTTGTTCGAAACCGAATTCTTTGAAGATACCCTACGCTGCTCGCTTTATACCCGTTTTCATTATACATTATACAAAGAGCTTCAAACAAGGTCTAATAGGCATCCACATCGACTACCTACCTAGTTAAAGTGGTCTTGCTGACACTTTAAAGTTTACATGACACTTATATCCAGCCATATTCATCTTATTTATTTATCATCCAACTTCATTTTGTATCCTTTTCGTCTCAGCATCACTACCTCTTAGTAGTCTAAACTCTTCTTCACTCTCACCTATTAAAAAACTTGGTGATTCCGAATATACAGCAAGATGTCCGACGCAGCGGGTTCGATGACCGTTAACGGCAACTTCCTGAAGGACTTTATCATCGCCATCGCAGTCGCAGCCGTTTCAACTATTGTACTTTTGTTGATTATCTGCCTTCTCGCACAATGTGGACCGCGATTGTTCACTAAAGTCCGCAGGAGGGAAGAGTGGCTTTCTCCAACACTCGAGGAGGGATACCAAGATCAGTCGCAACCGGAACTTCCCCTAGTACCAAGAAGTTGGCAACGGAAAGAATATGCGTGAATGAATTATCGATCGTTCGAATACTCCGAAACTAAAATTGCCGCGCCGACTATTTGTCAATGAGCGCGAGAATCCCATCAACTTATTATAGCGGTGATAATCTATCTACCTTCATCTGCACATCTATACGTTATACGATAGATCAGAGACCTAAAGACTAGACGCCGCAGGCTACTCATACAATGCCATACGCAATGTTAGCTTCGACTCACCTCCCCATATATGGGATTCGAAACCACAACCAAATCCTATCAATAGTCTCAAACAGACGGAGACAATGTTTCAGCTGGCAAACATCAGTTAGGTTCGGTCGGGAGCCTTTAAGCAGAGCGCCGTGTCATTACACGCTTACTTTGGGGGAGTCTTTAGGCGTCAGTCGGTATGAGGCTAGGACCTTAGGGTCAGCTATGCCAGATCATACTTGAGAATATCATCTGTGGAAATCCACGGCGATCTGCTCCATTAAAGCGAGCGTATTATATATATTACCGCGGGATCGGATATGCACCCCTTTGAATAGATATAAGGATGGTTGTTGCATGGGCGGCGCATTCATAACGAGACATAGCATATAGAATTACCTAGATATCATATAAAAAGCCCAGGCATGATTTCCCGGATACAGGGACTTTAACAAGATTTAGTTTTCGTTTTCTGTATAACCAACTTACTATTAACATAGTTTTGCGTGATGATTTTTCTTTCTTCTAGAAGAGCCCCCGCAGATACGACTATTTTGAGGGACATAACAACGATAACAGCATGTCTAATATATAATGTATAAACATTAAGAGCTACTACATTCAGAGAAATTATCAACTTATCTAAAGTAGCCTTGCCACCCCCTATCCCTATCATCCCGTATGGTATCAACTTTGGCTTGCTACTAACTTTAGTCTACGTATCAGTTTCGCTAAACTTTACATGTAAACCTACTCCTAGAAGATTTTCAGAAGCATAGAATCATCCTTACTATAGCTAGGTCCCATACTACCTAATAGCTTCGTGATAGGTGAACAACCTTGGGGAGATCATATGCAGGAACAGCGATCTCGGATCATGTCAGATATTGTAACCTTGGTTGATGTCGTACATAGAGTGAATGTCAGGATAGATAGATTGAACTATTAATGCCTGCCTTTTACCCTCCGACGAGGGTGTTGCGCGTCCTTTGTATGGTATATCTACTCCTGTAGCTACCCCTAACCCACTTATACCCTGGTATATTAGGCCCTGTCGTTCCCAAAAGTAACAGGCAAGTTCTCCGCCTGGATTAGGAATTGACATTACATCGATGTGGAAGAATTTTCCTAGATAAAACGAGCTATATGGATACGAACGAAGAACGCAAATACGGACGTCTCGGGGTTGCGATAGGAGTGGTGCTCCCATGTCAAAAATCTACGATGCTATATCAAAATTCGTTGCATATCAGCTATATAGGGTTGGTGAAAGCTCATACTTATCGAAGCTTGGCACGTTATAGAACTCGGAATCCCAGGATTTACCAGAAACAAGAGTAGGTGTTTTAATTAATGCCATGATATCTGCAGAATTGAAAGACTTAAGCTACCCAAGTGCAAGGCCGTCGGTATCGCACTTGTATAACCGCTTGAGCAACGCTTTCATAGACTTGAAATCCAAATGTTCATTAAAGGTTTTTGTTAAGCTTGATTGAGGCAAACTCCGTAAGAAAAATAGTAAATATAGAGCACGACCAACTTAAGTAAATTTTCAACGGCCAAGGAAAGTCTAGGTCCGACCGCGAGACAGATTGGGCGACGAGCAAGCCCTTTAAGATAAATACAAGACTATTTAACTATGGAACGGTTTCTGAACCTTGCCACGAATAGATTGCGATGAGTGCCCTTGATTTTTTGAAAGGATAACGAGATGTCCCAGTGTATAATTTTCCGTGCTCATACTACAATCGGAGACATCTTGAAGCCCCGACCAACTCGCCAATTATACACGACTCTACCTATCGTTTATCCGGGTAACCATGTATAGGGCCCGATTTTCATCAAGTATTCAAGGCTTGCATCCGAGTGCTTTAACTCCAGACAGTGTTAATGATGAGCGCGTAGAAACACGCGTTTGGAAGGGGGGATTAATAGGGACATCTACTTGTTTGTGTAACTGGATGATCAGCACCAGCAATTATTTGAGTGCTTAGCCGTCCTACGGGTTTATATATTGTGAATGTTTCCGAGGATGAAGCACATCGTCGGGGCCGGGTATGTGTGATCATCCGGTTCTTAACTACCTATATTCAACGGCGTTCTCTATACCGTGTCTCATAAAGCACGACTGCGGTTAAGATTCTCTGGATGCTTTTCAACTAGGTATGCATTTTAGTGAATAATCAACTTCGTTATTTCTTGGAAAAGTGATGTCTAGCTTATAGATAAACTAAATTCTTGCAACTTATTGAACCCCTGTATTTTGATGTATGTAAGAATACGCGGCGTTATATTAAATCGCTTTTCTGACACGAAGTTAAGATTGCCCTTTTAATAACACTAGAGGTTACCCCCCGGGCAACACAAAAGCCTAAGGTTTACACCGCACCATGTTTTTATGCTATTTTTATTATTATTACATATTAGCGACCTACCCCCTATTAAACTGGAGGGTGCCCCTACGATAGCCCGGATTTACTGCTATTATACGGCTGGACACTACTTTCAATACTTTCGAGACCTGAGTAATAAAGAAGCATTAAATATATGCATATGCAGACCTGTTCATTTTTTACTGCTTTCTATAAGGCAAGAAAATCACCTGTAAGGTAGCAAGGCATGTGTCCCAAATAGGAAATTTTTACTCGCATTCAACACAACATCCTAAGGTAAACCTTAGGCATACTTTGCCGATATTGCGAACTCCATTATGAGGTTGAGCTTTTGACTAAATAGTCTGCAAAATCACACAGGGCATATACGTGGCCTCCAAGTTTTTGGTGTGCAGCACCAACCATAAGACTTCTCTCAAGTCCTAGTAAGTTCCTAAAGTTGGCATTTTCTAATGTATATCCATTTGCCTAAAAGGCCCAATAGCTTAGGGCCTACTTGAATGTGGTTTCACATGCGTAAGGGTTTTATTCGACACATTAGGTACACTTAACTATAGCCGTTGAGGAAGTTTATGATTAAATACCTATTAGGTTTTAACTACTTATTATAGAGAAAGAGAAATCGGAATTATCTTAGTAGTTTATGGGACAAGAGGAGCACCGTCGAGAGTGATATGGTTGACTTATACTAGACATTTCTATAGTATTTCCGGGGCTAGGATGGATCAAAGCTTTCACGGGTAATAAAGAGTAATGTCAAAATAGCAAATTGTAGTATTTCAAATCTAAACGAGTGTAGTCAGGCCGTGACATATTGAATCAAAATCAAATACTCATGAGAGAGTCTCTCTCATCATCCCTTTCTTAGTTCAAGCCCTCCACTTGTTGTTGTCCCCCACTTGTCCTTAGCATATTCGTTGAATTTCACTTAAAGGACCTTGACGCAGTTGAGAAGGTTGAGGTTGAGGTTGATAAGGCCACCCTAGTATCGTTCAAAGTAGTTAGTAATCATAAGCTCCTTCAACTAGAATTTAACAGGTCCTACTTACGCTACCATTGAGAACACTGTCGTTGCAGCAGTACGCTTCGCTACCACAGGTGTTGCCTAAGGCAAGAACGCAATTCAGAGCGAGGCTAGTACAGCAGATCTGGTTCGGCTTGTTGGTGCTGGAGCAGGCGCCTGTGCCTGTGCCACCGGTACGGGCCTCGACAATGTCGGCAGGGGCAGCAGTGGCAACCGCGGCCAAAGCGAGCATGGTGATAGTGCTGAACTGCATTTTGGATGTCGTAAGGGAGTCGGACCTGAAGAGGTAGAGAATGTCTGTAGTGAGCTGAAGAGGGCTGAAGAGAGCTGTAGAAACTGAAGACTGAAGTTTGATGGTCTGCGATGGTGATTACAACTCTGAGTTTCGAGGGAATTCAGAGAGCTTATATACACATTCTCGACGCTCGTTTATCGTCATTGATTATTTCTATGGCTTCGGGTCCTTGCGCAGTCGAGCGTAATGCTCCATGATGGCGCTTAGTCTATACCCGATACTACACCCTAGTTTCTTCTTTTCAGAATGGCGTTCCGCCACGGATGAGATTTCTCTCCGATGCATTCGATCTTGATGAAAGTTCAGTCGGAAGTGCTCCGCGAGGGCGTCTGACTGCCGGCCATGACCCCTTGACGAGGTCTCTGCATTTCACCGTGTGACGATAAATCGTATGTTTAGTCAAAGAGTTAATCCAGGTTTCTATAACATATGCAAGCCACTGTAGCACAAGCTAACACCTCTGGTCTATCCAATTAACATAATTCATTCTTCAGCTTTTACAGTATAACCTGGCTCTAGACTTCAGCCACGCAGTTTAGGAGCTGTATTTTCGACATCCTAGCAAGAGTCCCCACACGAGGTACTCCAGATTCTAGGCTGCAGATGTGACCTTGTACGGAAAGACCCGTTCGGGACTTCAGAGTCGATTGTACCCAGCGGGTTGTGATCTACCTTTTCATAAGAAAACTGTTATAATTAACGAGATTAATTAAATGAATAATTTCTGTACTTACCTTCCACGAGTCATTCTCTCTGTCTCTATAATGGCCAAGCTTCTTCTGCTATCACAGCTCTTAAGTTCAAACAATGGGCGGCGAAGTCGGCCTGCACGAAATAGGGATGGACAGTTGTATGAGGTGGTCACCGTGTGGTTACACCGTACATTATAACAACGTCATGATTACTTTCCGGGACTTGCTCCTAGTGAATCAGGCACTGGTGAATGTAAGCATTTAGCCTTTTTTCCCATCTCCCGTGATTGGCGGCGGAAGTAGGTAGCTGTCGAATCCATGTAAGCCTCATAAGGAGGGCTAGTTAACCTTGATAACCTCTCAAGTCTCAGCGATTTGTCTCTTATACGCGCCTTCAAACTTTTAGTGTCGTTCCAACCTGTTTTATTATGACCTAAAATAGCAGAAGGAGGTCTAGGGACATGACCTCTCAGTATCTAGACTGTTGGAGATTGCATGGACCCATGCCGGGAAACCGACGGCAGGGAAATAATAGATGTCCCCATCGACATTTCAGAGTGTATGAGAATTTAGATACCTTAGAAGCATACATAACTAATGAGTTTAACAGGGGCTTCGTTTGATAGATAGCTAATTATTAACTCCAATCGATTCCCCTATAAACTACACTGATTCTCTTAAGTACCACATATACTATGTTCCCGCCGCGTAATTCGCCTAAACTACTATCTGAAGGTAGGAAATATACGCCGAAGGCTGGCTAAGCATAAGCAACTCCTGCTTAAGATCGAGAATTACGATCCGCCTCCGCTTGATTACATCCGCAGATCCGGCATTGAACTAAATTGGCTAGGTTGTTTCTCATACCATGCTATGGGTAACCATTCGAGCGTGGAATGACTCCAATTTGATGGACTCGGGAGCGTGGCGTTACCAACTTCCAATTAGCAAGCACTCGAGCGGAAAGTTCCTGTTAAGCCATATAAGGAAAATAATCTTCCCTGTCGGGATGGACTATGAGTTCGTAAAGGCTGCTTATGATACATCACATGCTTCCACACCGTCTCAGAAGTATGATATTGAAAGGTATACGAATCTTTAGTCCACCTCTCAAAAGCGGCCTTAGGAAATGCCAAGGTTGACAGTATCTAGGAGACGAAGCTCGGTTAAGGCAAAACGCAAAGAGCCAATCCTGGTACAAATGTGGTAGTCTAGTTAAGAGGCATCGAGCGATCAGCAATAGACTCTCAGGGAACGTGCAGAGCTGAGTAACATTATTATCGGGACCTTGCATGGACACGTTATTCAGTCGGCATAATGGCTACCCATGACCATTCACGGCCACGCTTTTCCGATCCCCAAACATACTCGACAGTCACGTCGCTACAACACGAGGACACGGAATGGTAAGCTATTGGAAGAAAACGAGCCGGACCTGCATCCTACCGACGGACCGGAAACGCATAGACGAAGCTGGTGAAGGTAAGCGCTCGAAATATGCATAGCCGGTAGGACTTAATAAGGGTGGCCTCGACATATGTCATAAAAAGCAAATTACAACACGAGCGCCACATTTACCAGGTTCTTCAGAAACCAAGGGACATAAGTGTACAACAGGACCAGTCTAGACCATTAATTTTCTCCGAAAGAATATTAAAGTTAAGACATCTTTAGTAGGACGTCAGTCCATAAACTCCAAGGTAATAATCAAAAATAAATACTGTATGCATATCTCGCATGCGTTTTCTCTCGCTGGGAGTGACCATGTTGCAATTTTCAACGGGAATCACAACATCAAGCCAAGACATGAAACTGCATAGTATTATAAAAATTGATTAATCAATAAATTCAGCGGGCCAGTTCCGCGAATATGACACAATTATAATTTGACAATCGAAGTGCCCAACGCCATTCATATTCACAACTTGTCATGGGTGTGTAGAAGTGATATCGGCACAGTCCGAACAGAACTGCCCATGACCCCCGATGTTCGCTGCAGGTATTCGGCGACATGGCTTGACTATGTCTTCAAAACAGCTGATCACACTGTAAAATACTAGGTAGTCATGGGCATGTAATGACGTTCACCTTCCGTTCCCTTTTAGGAAACTAGTTCATAATATGGACACACAATTCCCAAGATCCTCACTAGCCGCTTCCTATCACAGTGGCTACCTATAGCTATTAGTCGTCTCAATAACCACATGCCCCTCCAGCTATTGGCTTGCTCCCGCCGGAAAGCCATCTCCGAAACTGCATATGTGGATGTGGTCATAAACACAGATTCGAGAAGTATGCACTAGATATATACGCTATAAACGCCCAAGTATTCCCAAATACTCACTCTTACATGTGGATGCATACTTAGTACGATTTTGGACGCCAAAACTGTCACGAGGTGGAACCAAACAACATGGAAACAACTTCGTTGTTACGCGAGAAACTCTAACCTATCTAGCGAGCCCGTGGCTTGTATATACCTCATATATGTTCTTTGTCCTAGATGTCTCATCTAGAATCCTGACAAATACACAAGTATCGCTGGCCAACTTTGTCTCAGTACTCCAAAGTACAAGAGAACATTGGGCAATTTATTGTATAAAATGTAGCTTGTCTACCTAAGCAAACCATTTCAACAAAGACAGTTGAATCATGGTATCTAGTAATGTATATATAGACGAAGTTTATAATAAAGCAAAGCAGTCTATTTTTCATCTGCTTTCATGAGATATATCTTAGATTAAGGTAGATTTTGATGATTGAATATTGAGATGTCGCCTCAAGTGTAAGGCCGTATAAGTGACATATAAGTGACATTAAAAAAATCATGCGTTATACGGAAATTTGAAAATATTAAAGTAAAATTTAAAAGCTACCTGTAAAGAAAGAATCATACTCAACAGCTTCAAGTTATTTATAATTCATGTTACAGAGAGGTGGACATGAAGTTAGATATAGCAACTGAATCACTAGCTGTGAAGGGGGTGCCACCTGACAGTCAGCTGACAAAAGCTTTGGGACGTCATTGCACTCTCGGCCCCACCAGGCCTCACGTTGTCGCCTAAGCAACCTTTGAAGCTTTGAAGCATCCCGCTTGCCACTATCCAGCTGCCTGCAAATGATACAACTGATACAACTTCACATTTTAATATAGGAACTTGACCTAAAAGACCGCCTATAAACCCTATATCGAGCATCCAACACAGTCGCATCTCCGATCCAGAAAACCTCCGACCCCTCCTCAAAAAGAAAAAAGAAAAAACCACCAAGCCGATCACGATCCAAACCCCACCACCACCATGAACCGCCTCTTCGGCAGCGCGCCCAAGGCGCCCAAGCCCACCCTCAACACCGCCATATCGAACATCGACGCGCGCATCTCCTCCTTCGACGTAAAAATCGCCTCCCTCAACGCCGAGCTCGGCACGTACCAGACCAAGATGGCCAAGATGCGCGAGGGGCCGGGGAAGTCGGCGCTCAAGGCCAAGGCCCTCAAGGTGCTCCAGCGGCGCAAGCAGTACGAGTCGCAGCGCGACCAGCTGCAGTCCCAGGTCTGGAACATGGAGCAGGCCCAGACCATGCAGGACAACCTCGCCGGCGTCATGACCACCGTCGACGCCATGAAGACCACCCAGAAGGAGCTCAAGAAGCAGTACGGCAAGGTCGACCTCGACAAGATCGAGCGCATGCAGGACGAGATGGCCGACCTCATGGACGTGGGCAACGAGATCAACGAGACCCTAAGTCGCGGGTATGAGGTCCCCGACGACGTAGATGAAGCCGAGCTGGATGCGGAGCTGGAGCTGCTGGGTGCCGAGATGGAGATGGAGGGGGCGGGCATGGAGGCAGGCGGCGTGCCTGATTTCATGAGGGACGAAGTGCCCGAATTCATTGACGAGCCCCCGGAGGCTCACAACAAGGTACAAGAGGCAGCGAGGTGATATCACGAGACTAGCGAGCGAGCTTATTTTACCAGGTAGATGGAGAAGGGAGTTATTGGAGTTTACACGGCAAGGGGTTTTGGAAGGTCTCTGTTTTTTACCATTATACTCTATTTAGTTCAAGGTCGCTATATCGATACTACTTCGACCCGAGTCATCGATACTCATATCGTCATGTACACATATATCCCGTAAACAATGCAGCCCTTGAAAGCTTCTACTCTACAGTCCCGAAAAACGTGGACGCCTCTTCGAGCTCTGGGTCCCCGTTGCAAAAGTCCCAACCCACGATGGTGCTCGTCTGACTACAGCAAATTATCCGTCGTGCGTCGAACTGCAACTTGAAAATTCTAGCGGGGCTTGTATCCGCTTGTGGGATATGGGGATGCTGCTGTTGCTGGCCCTGTACTTGGCCTTGCGCTTGGGACGTTATAGTCTGTGACTGGGGCTGTGCTTGTTGAACCTGATGCTGGGTGTGCGGTGTGATCATATTGGCGAGACTAGGAGGAGGGCCACCACCGCTGCTTGTTGTAGCGTGTCCCGTTGTAGAAATGTTAGATGAGTTTTGTTGGCTGGCTGGCTGGGCCGATGTCTCCCCGGCGGTCGTAGTTGCTGAAAGGGCTTGTTGTACGGATTCTCTGATGCGACTTTGGGCAAGCTGTGCTCTGTTTACGGCACTGTTGACGACTTGTCTTAGCTGTGAGCGGATAATGGGGTTAGGTTCACGACTGATGGCCGATTGTATGTGAAATTGGTAGGTTAACATGGTTGGATAGGAGGTTAACGCTTGTTGGAGGGCTGCTGGTCCCTGCGGGACACAAGCATCGATCATTTGCGTGTATGATGAAGTCGTTTGAGGGGTGATGGTGGCAAGGATAGGGTGCTCGACGTGAGTGAAATTCGGATGTGCTTGCGTCGGTGGGGCGCTTGCGGGAGGCGCCGTTAGGTTGTTAGTAGAAGGCGGAGCTGATGATGTAGGAGGTGCTCTAGAAGTAGAGCGAGAAGACGTTTGCCTAAGGGCTGCCGCTGCGCCTTCTTCCTGGCGAAGCGTATGTGCGCTCTTCCAGACACCCTCCCTATCCCGCCGCCAGATTATAATACTTTGGTCGTAAGAACCGGAAACTATTCGCCCGTAAGGACCGCCGCCGCCGCCGGGAGGAAGCGTAGCCCCGTATGCAGTAATATCTTCAGGCCGGCGACTACCCGCGTTATGTGGTCGACGCCTCAACGACTGGACCTCGTGCTCGAGATTTCCAGCATTTAAAGCCTTAAAATATGCCTGATCGACAGCCTTTGCCTCTAGCCGATCTTGCTCGATGCTATAAGGAAGATCACCGAACCCGGCCTGTACAGTACGGACAAGGTTGCCATGCGCCCGCAAACTCGCAACTTCGAGGCCCGTTTCTCGATCAAAGACCTTGACTTCATTATCGCTACTCCCACTCACAATCCGCCGACCGTCATACTGGACACAGGCAATACCCTTATTATGCCCAAGAAAAGTCCTCTGGCATGTCTGATTTGGCCAATCCCACACTTTGATATGTCTATCGCCACTCGCTGAGACAATTTCGCGATCACAAATCTGAACAGCGTTTACGGCGGCGCCATGCCCCTCAAGGCATCCGATCATCGTGTACGGTGGTTTAATAGCGGCTTGGTTTATAGGCGAGTCGTCGAACCCAAAATTTCTAAGATTTATTGGTACAGGGCTAACACCTTGGGACCCGCCATATCCCAAGTCACCGGGTCGCAATGGAACACGATTGAAAATCTTGATTGTCTTGTCCTTGGAGCATGTTACGAGGATCCGTTTGTCAAACTTGACATTAAGAACTGATTCCCTATGCGCCTTCTTCAGCCGCTGGATGATTTCGCCTGTGGAAAATTTCCATAAAATCACATCCGAGTCGCTACTCCCCGAGACAATTAGATCCTCCTCAGGATCCGAGTCGAACTGTAAACAAAGAACTGATCCTTGATGACCCACAAGAGGCGGTCGTATAAGGCGCCGGGTACGTAGGTTCCATATTCGTAGCGTACGGTCTCGGCTACCACTGACAAGATATTCCGGGTTATATTGGAGGCTGTAGATGCACTCGTTGTGTCCCTCATCTAGGTGGTCCGGATGAGGTAATTGGAAGTTTTTGTACCGGCCACGATCCCAATTGCGTTCCAGCCTTCGTCTCATCGTATATAGGTATTTCCAATTAATTTTGTATCTGCGATCAATCGAATCATAAATCCAAAGCGTAGACTTCAGTAGGCTAGGTAAGCTAGGAATAGTCTCAATAAGCGATTCGATAGTCGCTTTGCCTTTGCCTTTCGATACTCGGGAAGCAGACTGCCCTCTTTGGTCTTGCATGGGGCTGGGCGACTTCATCATCAGGCTGCCCATATGCTGGATAACACTAGTGTTGCTCTGAACAGACGAGCCACTCTCCCCAGGCTGGCGAGTGTGGAAAGTACTCTTATCATACAGGTTAGGTACGGTTCTCGCTCAATAGATGCACCTCTAGTCTAACGTTCGAGGGTAGAAGACACTCACATTGTACTGGTCAGCCACGGACTCTTGTGATACGGCTGCATCAGCGTCGACCATATCATAGTCTTCGTCATCTTGTGCTGCTGGTTCCGATACAGCTCGTTTCTTATTCGCGTGGCCGTCTTCGAACGATTCTATCTTTTGAGATGGGACTTGGGTTTCGTTCATCCTCTGTTCTGCGGCTGTGATTTCGGATGGTATGGCCTTCCACCCTTCTAAATAGAACAGTCGCTCCCAAAGTTTGCGGTCCAAAGCCAAATCGTACCAACCCCGGCAGCACATTGCAACATGAATCAGCGATACAGGGTCTAGATAACCCAGGATTTTGAGGCATATCTCCGGTGGTAGGCGTTCCACGAAGTTGATATAAAGGCGAGGATTTAGTCCGTTCATGACGATGTCGGCGATCACGGTGGTAGGCAATTCGTTTAGTATTAACATTGCTAGTCCTAAGAGTTTAAAAAGGTCATGTCAGCGTAACAGATCATATAATATAGCTAGGTGTGAGCTAAATTGAGAGTAGTAACAATATTTCAACAATATTTCAATTATGGGGAATATCTGGTTGGTAATCGAATTCGTGGACTTACGAGTCTTCTGGTGTATCGACAGTGTGGGTAATTGAGCCGATAGCCATGCCGGTATGTCGGCAACTGGTCGCTTCGCCGTCAGCGACGCATTACTGGTAAGACTACCTGAATCGGAGGGATTAAGGGGATGCTCGGAATAACCCTCGTCAGGTTCTTGGGTCGGGGAGAAAGGATCCATCGAGTGGCTCTCTGGCAGCCTCGTGCTTTTTGATTATCGGTCTGATAGTATGTTGTGTATCTTTATCTTGCGTATCTTGTGGGCTTGGATAATTCCTTATACAAAAATTCGAAAGGGCGTTATGAGGCGTAGAGGTAGGAAAACAAGTGATGGGCAGAAACTTAGTAAGGCAGCACCAAACTTGGTTCAGTATTGGTTAATGATCGTTGTTATGATGTATCACCACGTGGATCGCGAAAGAGGCGACAGACGCGTGCAAGATGCGTTCTCGGCCGAAAATAGACATGTAAGTATATTAATGCGACAATGAGCAGCGATAGAAAAGTTACCCACGATATCGGAGGGAATAGAGGTTCGCGGTTGTGAAAGTGAGATGATCTATCTAGGTACCTTATGGAATTACTTAGATCAACGTTGTACCGGAGAATTGATGCGACGGTCGTGGTGGGTACGAGTTTATCGGAACGGGCAAATCTAAGGTTTGCGAGCAAACTTACCTCCTAACAGGTTAGGTACCTAACATAGGACCTCCAATGGCCAGTCCTATTGGACGGATTTGACGGAATACATGGACTACTAACCTAACCGGGTCAGCTGTTAGGTACCTAGGTACTTATGTAAGCAGATGAGGGGGAGGGGCTACAGAGCCTAACCTAACCTTTATTCAGTATTAGCCACCAGATGCTAGCACCTGAAATTCCATTAGTTGATTTTCTCTTAATAGCCAAATTTGACTTCACCATTGCACCAATTCACATGAGATACGTAACCTTTTTCCCAATCGTTTCTCCCATAGCGGCTTTTCCTATACGAATAATATCAGGTAGTTATCGATGACCTTGGGTTTTAAAATCCATGTAGGATTCTATGTATTACCCTGCTGCGCTGGGCCTGTAGGATAGGTGCATCGATAGGAAAACAACCTATCGATGCCACCTCCACCACCCAAGAAGTGGCTTTATTACAGCGAAGGTAGGAAGCAAGAATAAGGCCACGTGTGAAACTATTATACAACTGACTGGCCGCCTGTAGTCATGTCTATGGAAAATTTTCAATGGAATTAGATGAGATAACTACACGTTTATGAGCGTGGGTTAACTTCGTCTTATATCTATTTTACTTTATTGCAGATCCATCGTGAACTAGATTTACAGCCTATTAAGGAGTACTCTAGGTTTGCTTAGTGAAATCCCAATAATTATGTTATCTCTCTAACACCGAATATTTGGCATTAGATGGATATAAATATTTGATTCTACTTTATACGTTTAGGTTGATATATTCCCAAGTTCACCCCAGCCGATTATTGTTATTTGCCGGTTGAGAAGTGAAAAAAGCCAATTTATCAACGCAGGTTCTATTAAGTACCTAACCTATATACCCCTCCCCTAAAAGTTACTACACAATCGTGAACTCGCACAGGTACGCGCAAGTGTCATGTATCTTGTTATATGTAACGAGTAGATTCTTGACTCCATTTCTAGAGCTAGAAAGAGAATTTAGAGATCAATTAACCGGGTTAACAAGTAATAATGTATTGATATGGACTTTGGAGAAGGATCTTGACCGAAAAGCAATATAGTAGCATGTAATATTTAATAAGCTGACACATAAGATAGGAAAGATATCGAAAGAAGCATGCATAGAAGCATTATCGAACACTAATATCTAATCCTTGCGTCGGCTTTCTTTCCTGTGGCTGTCATATAGATGATGCCGTCGTGCACCCATCATCCGCATGCACTAGACACCCGCAGGGTTCAAGAGGTAACCCCGCCTGGTGATCATAGTGGGTTTATCAGGTGAGTCGGGATTTTGCCCCTTTTCGTGTTGACGGGGTGTTTAACATTTTGGGCTAGTTGTTTGATGCTAAGTTAGATCTACTACAGACCAGGGAATACGTATATTATAATGTTGGCACTATTCGAATATCCAAGGCTCACTTCTACATAAAAGCTTCCAGTTTATAAAAGGAACACGATCCATAAAGTACCTATAGTGCAGTGGCTGACTACTTTGCGCAGGCAGCAGCAGCCAAGAAAACATTCAGTGCTAGAGTCAGGTGGGACGGGGTAGATGGCATTAGCCCCGTGTCGTATTTAGGCAAGTTGATGTAATATGGGGATATTTTAAGAATTACTTGCAGCGAGGCTTTATACACTATATAAAAGTTTCCAGCCTACTAGTTTGTCAGTAGGTAAGGTAGATTCTATTCAGCTTACTATCTTACGCGTATAAGATATCCTTCTTATTAATCTTTTTATGCGGTATTACTCTAAATGCCTTAAGTAGTATCAGAACTGAGGATATTATCGCGACCAGTCTAGGTATCCTTTAAGACCAATATGTAGAGGAAGATGCTATGGCCCAATGGCCTAGAGAGGGTTCTCTAGTGCAACGGGATTTAGCCCCTTTAGGAATAGACCCGGGGATTCGCTAATTTGAAACAGCCAGAGATAAAGACTCCATCACAATTGATGGCCAATTGCGGGAGTCCGCAGATAGAGGTTACTTGGTGGGGAAGTGCGAGACGTACTGTGCAAAGTATAGGTACCTAGATATGCATTCTACAGCCTCAGACTTGAATAATGATGTTAAACATCTTTGGTAATATATCTTGATGTGGCATGGCTATTTTAACATATAAGGCTCGACTTGCCCACTATATGTACTTTATATACATGTAGGTTTATAGTGCTTCAGAAGGGAAGAGGAAAATATTGTATTTGCTTTCACTTAACTACTCTATTTGCATCGTTGAAGTAGGTAGTTGTCTATGAACCTTTGCGGCGTGGCGTTTAGTACCAAATGATCTACTTGATAGCCTGTCCTCTTATTAGACATCAGCACCTCCTACCATGAATAGCAACATCTCAAAAGGGTGTCGCCAGGAGTGCCAATATTGCAATTGTGAAATTCTCACAGAGGGTTAAAAGGCCTTCTTCAGCAGCTGAAAATCTCATTTAGGATACATGTTAAACGTAATCCTGAGGTCGTCTTGACACCAACAAAGAGAATTTGATCGACTCGAACGGGCAGTCGCCGCCTAGTAGTTACGGATGAGCCGACAAAGCAAATAGACAACGTATATCAACATCTTATTTCTGAATTAACAGAAAACCGTACAGACAACCCTGTATGCAAATACGTTTTACCACTTTAGCCCGAAGTTGAAGGGCCAGAGCCAGTTATCCCCCCCAATAATAAGGGGGTAACATCTATTCTGAAAAAGCCCACCTGTGAGCCGTCGACAATAACGACAACAACCACAACGACGTTGGGTTTCAGCATGCGAGTAGATGGGACCGGAGGCCTTAATTCCCGTTAGCTCAAGGCTTCTAACGAACTTGATGGACTTCTACGGCCGGTACACCTAGTCTTGTGGAATTATTTCGCCAACAGGGTCAGAGTATAACCGCTTTAGAAATACGGTATGGAAAGCAGTTAATGAAGTAACTATGGAGTTTCCAAAGGATGTTGGCTTCAATAATAGCCTATTTACCACCTGTTTAGTCGGACTTCATCGAGCGGCTAGAGATGCGAGAATTTTGCCTTTCGATCGACGAATATATTATATACTAATGGAGCATTTTCTAATGTATGTAAAGATAACCCCTTTCCTCTTACATTAGCGCATATAATATGAGAGCGGAAGGGACGTGGAAAGGATATAGAACAAGCGAAGTTATAAAGCGCACCGCCGATATCCCATCAAACTAACAAACCTTGTTGGCTCTCCCTAAGAGATTAAATAGAGCTTTCCAATGCAATAAATGTATATGAACATAAGAAATATCAGAAACGAAGAGCTTTGTCCTATGAATCGCCTAAATTTAGGCAAGGGAGCTGTTGGGTGCGAGATGCCATAAACGCGCGGTGTTTTCACCAGGGTTCTAATAGCAGGATTACTTGGGCGGTTAATCATATTGATGCTTGATGGGTATTGACATCAATAGCTGTTGGAACTTGACCTACGGTTGTTGAATGCTTTTTGTGAAGGGTGAAGGGTACTTTATTGGGAAGTGCGAAAGGCACTGTGGCACGTATTTCAAATCCTAAGGGGTAGTCGACCGATGCTTTTAGCAATACAACATCCATCCATCGAGGTGTTACATTTATGTACCTAGTCGTTCTCCCTCCTCGAAATCATCCGTGCAGCATACATGCCTTGAAGATTTAGTGTTGGTTTTTATATTATATCGTTAACAAGTAGAGGTAATTTTAAGACTTAGGTAGATATGGTTATCTTAGGAGGTAGATAACCATAAAGAGAGTTTATCGAGAGTTTGTCGAGTGGAAGTTGAGCAATGGTGTATTTTTGCGGTAGATTTTGTGCTACCTTTGTCTTTAGGGGTGCTGCAACTACCATGAAGGGACCTAGCGGTGGATTAGGCGAAGTTGCTGCACTGGATGTATTTCACTAATTGGTGATCTAGTAGTACATGTTAAAAGGTACATTTGTGAATCAGCCATAACGTTGTCAATGTTAAGTACCCCACTGTATTAGCAATAAGGCCGCAAGTTAGAAGAGTACATCGGACTGGTCAAGAAGGGCCAGCCACATTGTAACAAGAACTAACCCGTTTAGGATAATTGGTCATTGAACTTGTTGCCGACACTCGACTTCCAAGTAACTTTACAAGCCAAACCTAAACCCAACCAAACTCCATTCCAACTCATAGTCTGTCGCAGTCCACACAATCCACCAACCCGCTATCCATCTGCAATCCACACCGACGCCAAATCGACAAATAGACAAATCCATAATCCACAACGCACGACCACCAACCAGTCAACTACTTCATTTTATGTAGCCCTATGTAGGTACAGGCACTGTAGCCGCCCACCTGACATACACTCGGATCAGTACAAGGGAAAAAAAGGTGCTAGCCCGCCCGCTTCCTCCAACACTCGTCTCTGTAACCGCCGAGTGCGGTCGTCCTGACTGTCGATGTTTCAAATCTTCCTATCACCATAAGGCCGCATTTGCGATTCGATTCGATATTCGATATACCGAGTCTTAAAGATACCCGACTGTTAATTCGTCTGATATTGCATTATATTGAGTACGAAGAAAGCGCAGAGTCGTTTAGGATACTTCGCGTGACAGGGACCATTTCAGGGGAGAAGATAACAAGAGAAGGCATAAATCAGGATATTTATCTGAATTCACCATCCCCTTAGGATTCACTGTATAAGTTGACGTGGAACGAGTCCACTTGAGATAAAACCCAAGGACAACCGTCCCACATCACCAGCATCTCGTGGGGATCTCACCGCAACCTGTCTGGCCCCTCCACCGCATCAATCTCGACCCCTTTCAACCCCGAAATTCTGAACACTTCTAGCCAACCAAATCTCTCGAATCGATACCACTCGTCCCGTCTGGACGTTTAGGTACGGTTACCAACTAAAGCGTGTCCAACTGCGGCGACAGTCGTATGGGCTGAATAGCATGGCACATGCTCCGGCACTTTTACGGACTCACACGGCCCCCGTCTTCCCAGCCAACAACAATTACGGATCTATGTCGGCGTCTACTACGAGCAGCCTCCGCACAAGCCAGTTATCCGGCTCGACAGCCATCAACTCGTCGAATTCTTCGCTTTCATCTATGGTTCCTACATCGAGTAACGGCAATGTGGTGCCCACCACAAATATTATCAACCAGAGGGCTGATGCCTCCAGGTCGCTTTATCAAATATGTATCGCGCTGAAGCAGCGACTAACTCGCGTCCCTGGTTTCGAGGTTCATCTCGACGCCCTACCGCCAACCCACAATGAAGATGGCCCCGTGGAATCCTTATGGAATCTGCTGCGAACTGGAGTACCTCTCTTGACTATATATAACTGCTTGCAGCTAGAAAGCCCATTAGAGATCGATCCTGGGGCCAACGAGACTAAGCGACCCAAATTAGCCGTATTCAAATTCCTCCAGGCCATCATGAAACGTCCTGAGATCCCCTCCGAGTCCTTTATGATCAGTGATTTGATGGGAAACGATACCACTGGTTTCGTCAAGGTATGGCTCTTCCGTGTTGCTCACTTATCTACACAGAAATCTAGCTCAAATATCAATCATGTGTCACGAATAGGCAAGCTAACCGCTCAATTAGGTTACCCAAATTGTGAATCATGTTTTGGACCTTGCCGAGCAGCGAGGTCTACTTCTGCAAGTCCAAGCGTATCAAGAAGAGAGTGGACCGACAGCGCCTGGGTCTCAAATGACATATCGCGACCATATCATCCAAGAACTTGTCGATACCGAGCGAAAATACGTCCAAGATCTGGAGAATCTGCATGATCTCAAGAAAACTTTAGAGCAGAAGGGTGTGATTACCGGTGATATCATCCACCAGATATTCTTGAACATAAATTCGATATTGGATTTTCAAAGGCGATTCTTGATTCGTGTCGAAACTACAAACTCGATGTCGCAGGATATGCAACGATGGGGTGCGCCATTTGTCACATACGAAGATGCCTTCGATATTTATCAACCCTTCATCGCAAATCAGCGGAAAGCAGGCCAGATAGCGAACAAAATCTTTGACAAGATTCAGTTGGCCGAGCACCCTGTGTCGTTTGATTTTAACACATTGGATAGTTTCCTCCTGAAGCCCATGCAAAGACTGGTCAAATATCCTTTACTACTAGGAGTTGGTACCCACCATTCAAATTTTAGATCTACCGATGCTAACCTATTTAGTCTCTCTTGAAAAAGTGTGAAGATGAAGAAGTCAAGGCCGACTTAGCTGCAGGCATCAAGGCAGCAGAACGAGTTCTTACGAAGGCAAACGAGGCAGTCAATCGTGACCTGCTAGACGAAGCTTTGGAAGAACTCACAAATAGAGTAGACGACTGGAAGAGTCATAACGTCAAGTCTTTCGGACGGTTGTTGTTGCACGGTGTGTATACTGTCATTACTGGACGTAGTGAGCAAGAAAAGGATGTAAGTCTCGCAAATGCGATCTCTACGATGTATAGATCGGCACTGATAATAGTTCAGTATGAGATTTATCTGTTCGAGTGTATTCTCCTCTGCTGCAAAGAGGTCCAACCAAACAAAACCAAGGATAAGAAAGACAAGAACAAATCTGCGCCGAAGATCCCGAACAAAAATAATAAACTGCAGCTTAAGGGGCGGATATTTATGACTAACGTGACCGAAGTCCTCTCGTTCGCAAAACCGGGTACGTAACACAAAGCTCAAGTGTAGAATTCAACCTAACATTTCCAGGTTCATATACGGTGCAGATATGGTGGAAGGGCGATCCCGGCGTAGAAAACTTTATTATAAAGTTTTCTAACGAGGAAACGATGAAGAAGTGGGAGACGGGGCTGGTTTCGCAGAAGAAAGAACACGCGCCGAGCACAGCTATAAGCCCCGACCAATCCACACCGGATTTTGCATGGATGCGAAATCAAGGCGGTCTCGAGAACCCCTACGCTCAGCAGGACGACGATGAGGACGAGGAAGAGGAAGAAGCAGTATCGGTACAAGTCACTCAACCGAGCGATGGCTTCCCGAATGGCGGAGTTATAAATCGTAATGCCTCAAGTACAAGTCTCAGGCAACGCTCCGCTACTGGAGAGAGTAACCTCTCGTTAGCAAGTATCGCTCGAGCACCACCGCCGCGCTTTCCTCTCCCGGCACCCCCAGGGCAGTTGAGTCTTCAAACACAAGGTGGTACGCAGTCGCCTAGTGCCCGTATTATGGAGTCGTATTTTTCTCCCACAGCAGAGTCCCCTGCATCGTCACGGACGAGCACGGCAAGTACCTTGTTTGCATCCGCGAATGGACAACAGTACCCGTTCCCAAGGACTGGAACACCTCAAAGCGGTTGGGAAGATAACAATCGTTACACTGCCCCAGCTTTGCCACGAGCTCCCTCGAGAGACGGTCCATCACCGATGAACGGAAGGAATTCCGCCAGAACAGCGTCGTTCCAGCAACAACGTAGCCGGTCTTATAGCACTCCAGATATCAACGGGCAGCAAAACGGACGTAGGACTAACAACAGTACCCCGGTCCCCGCCGTGCCTGGGATTCCATCTCATCTTCACCCTGCACACGACCCAAGCATCCCGCGGTCTCAAACCGGTTCCCCCAGACAGGACATCCCTGTCCGTACCAGCACGCAGAGCCCAGGTGTACAGCGTGACGGAGGGACCTTGTCTCAATTCCCCACCCAACCTATCTATCCTCGACAAGCAACTCCAGCCTCGGGGACGGCAACTGGAGGTACAGCACCTCCGACATTGAGTGTAGATAACCGACAGCCCGTGTCACCGCCGCTGGGCACTGCTACGCAAGGCAACCCACTCTCGAGTCCTGATTCGTCAATTCCCGCACAATTGAAAGTCAAAGTGAACTGTGATAGTGGGAACTATTTCACGCTCGTTGTTCCATTTAATATCGCGTACCAGTCTCTCAGCGACCGCATCGATGTTAAGCTTGCACGATTCACAACCAGTTCGATTGCTAAGGGCACCCTGAAGCTGCGATATCGTGACGAAGACGGAGATTCTGTAACAATTGAAAGTGACGACGACATCCAAATAGCATTCTCGGAGTGGGGTGAAGGTGCGCGCAATTATTCTGGCGGCGTTGGAGAAATAGAACTTTTCTGCGTCGGAGAAACGAGTTGAGCCTTTCCCAGGGGGCTTGGCGATAGGGCCTGAAAGGGACTTTCGACACGAAATCTTTACTAATACGGCAATAATTCATCCACAGACAGCCAAAGCGTAACCCCGACACTAGTTGCATTGATATTGCTGTGGTGCCGGCACGCTCATAACAGACGATTCCATCTCGATACCACTTCTTACCCTTCAGATCCGCCAAACGTTCATTTTATGACTTTACGATTCTTGCAGATATTTTAGATACCAGACCTTTTGGTCACATATGGATTGGCTTTGGGTCCTCGCCAGATGAAAAGCAGCCTTACATTCGTTCGCACGCTTTAGTGCTACAAGAGAACTGTCGATCGTTATGGATACGCTTCTATTACGAAGCCCTTTACGGCTTATTGAGAAATCATTTTTGGTTCGATCCGAATCTTATATTTTACAATACATCCGACTATCATTACCGTGCGAAGCGGGACAAGCATTCGACGAGATTCGAGGGCTTTTACTGGGTTGGGTAGCATGGCTACTGGCCCATAGAGGGAGCTATAAGAAGGATAATCAGGTATTTCGGAATTTGGCCATTTTTGATAACCTTGCACGGGTCGGCGCTAGTTAAGAATGGATGGCGGTTCTACTGTTTCCCGCCTCTCACTTTGCAAACATGAAAGAGCAAGAGGATTGTCATAGCATTGTCGGGAGTGAACCCAGGGCTTCAAACTGGAGGTGTAATGCAGATCCGACATGACGTAGTTGATGGCCATGATGTCTTAAAGCATGGCGAGTGGCACTACTAGCGGGGTCCCGCTTAGAGTGTTCAAAGGAGTAAGAGTTTGACAGCCAACTACTTATATATAGGTGGATTGATGCTAAGATTTCCAAGCCGTTCTGCGTCTATATTATATGCATATTCGTAGCTTTCCTGATCTACCTAGAATACTCGTTTGAGTAGTATACACAAGGTTCTAACATGTGATCTATCTTGGTCTCGAACTAGCCCTACAAACGATTTGCTTGGCCCGTCGTAGGAGGTTGAGTGTCAACGGACATGGTCTTCCGCATTTTACCTATTTCGTCCGATTGGCTCTGTATTATTCTTCCCTTCTCAGCCAAATTAGTATACAGCTCTCCTCCTTATACCCTGCTTAGATTATTTATAGATATGTAGCGTTCCATTACTTCGAATACAGTTGAGCCGTGTAAATTAACAGGTGGCGTTGTAGATATAGATATTGTCCACCTATAAAACCGCTCTGAAGATCACTCATCATCATCCTCATCATTATCACCCAAGACTCGTAGTTTTGGTTTTATAGTTTTACGTAACCAACTTATTACACTCGTGCCGCCGCTTCAGCTTAGTAAATATTTATTAATAACCCATTATTCCTTATCAGATCCAGAGTCTCTACTTACCTAGGCAAGAGGACAAGATGCTCTCATCTCTTGCTCGCAGCCTCCTTTTAATCGCTGCCGCAGCGATTCCGGCAGCGCTGGCGAAGCCAGAGCAGATTCGTGCCGTGCAGTCGCCTATCTTCCATTACTATTTACAGGCATACCCAGAGGACCGTATGTTCACCCCTCCGTCTTTATAATCTTTATGTCCCCCTTTTCCTCCATCCTTGCGTTCCAGGTGCAGCATATGAAACTAACCGCTATCCTTCGCGTAGCCGAGATACCGGTAATGGGCCCCGAGGCCAGCAGCGAATACTTCAACATCGGGGGCTGGATCCAGAGCATGAACACGTCGCTGTTCTTGAACATTGGAAACGATCAGACCTCGTACAAAACGTTAACATTCGCGGAGGCGACTGTTACTGACGCTTGGGGACTGGAGGTATTATTTCGAATTCTTAAGTATATTTGACATGGTTATGCACCAATTTCTAACCATTTTGCCATCAATAGGGGGACACGATTATCACGAGCCAGGGCAGCAACTATGGTCGCCAGCTCAACTTCCTAGTTTGCAAGCTGACTGGCGACTATTGGCAAGTATATCTGCAGATGGGAAGCGAAACACCCGCGGGCAGGACTTGCAGCAATTATCAGAGCCTGCATCTGCCCTGCTTATGCTAAAATAAGTCTTGAGAAGCGATGCGAAGGGGGAAGGTTATAAAATTTGGCTGAGGGTGTAGGTTACGGATCGGGGGGCGGAAAAAAAGCCTATGCGACTTTCTAGCAATGTTGGCAATATTCGCAAGCTAGGTAAATGAACTGTAAATAAAATCTGGATATGTCAATGGCTTTCGTTTGGTCAATATTCTTTTGGTTGTATATAGGTACGCTTGGTTTGATATTCGGTGGCCTCCATGCTATGGCCTGCTGATGGGTGCTATGTGCAATCCTGCGTTCAGCTCACATCCGACTGCGTATGCTTATCCCCCCCCAGAATGACATCTCTAACCTAATTGTACGTTTCTAGTATCAATTGGTTGATAATCGTCATATTCAGATCCCCATTCAAATCAACCTAGGACGCCGACTTATGCTTTCAACACTGGGAGTTGTTTCATTCCGTAATCTTCCACCATATCGTACAGAAGAGCGAAAGTCTTTGGATCATATCTTCGTTTAGGGTATGCCAAAATCTAATAAGACGTAGTAGCTTTTTTGACCCCGACCGGTAGTTGTTATATTCTCCCTCTTCAGAGCTATCATCTCTTTTTCTTTTGTGCGTAGGTAAGCTTATCCTTGAATCGCGCAAGGTGGTAATTGATCTCGCTGCTCTTGGGTTTCGAAGGCTGCGGCCCATCCATACAATTCCGTAAAGCCTGTTCAACCTGCGCACATCCAGCAATATTAGATCCTGCAGATGCCCAGCATGCTACGGGACATATTGGATTAGCTCAAGTATGATACAGTAACACGTTATTGACAGGATATTTCCATGTTTAGAGGGGATCCAAGAAGAGGGAGGTATTTGCGCATACCTAAAACGGATGACATGAGAGCCATGCACGGACGCTCCCTCTGGCCATTCGGGTTGCGAACTCGGAGGGTCTTCAACGGAGGAAGACGGATTGGCTTTTGCGACGCCGACATCTTGAAAGATCGAACACGGTATCGGATCCGGTATTTCCTATCCGGTCGTTGATACTTGCCGTCAATTGAAAACCGCGTGGCCCGAAACGAAGCTTTTCGTAAGGGAAAAAAAATGTTAAGCTAAGCTAAATCTAGCAAGGAAAAAGAGTGATCACGTGGAACCTTTTTTTTCTTAGTGCACAGGCCAAGGAAAGAAGCTCGTGTAGGTAATACATAGTGTGGATTTACATAGGTAAGAACTTCCATCCTTGTTATCCGTATAGCCGTGTCACATATTCTTTTTTCAGTCTTTTTTTTTTTTTCCTTTAGCGACTTGCCAGCTTCCATGCTCGAATAAGATTCTGATCTAAGCCCACCGAACGATCAAAAAGAGCAACCAGCATACTATGTAGATCAAACATGGTGATAATTTACTGCAGCCCACACCATTGGAGACAAAACGGGGATTAGATATCTGCATGTGCATTGCATACCCGTTCCTTGGACATGCTATTCGCACTTTCGGTATGATTGGCATACGACGTGGTACACGTAATCCTCCCCGTGGTGGATTTTGGTGATAGCGCGCATCAAAGACAGGGAGGTAACCTCGTCGAGGGCTTGCTTACACGACATCGATTACTCCGAATTCTGGCCGCGATATCGGCACCTCTCTTCTCTTTGGGAAATTTGGCTGTTGTTAGGTTTCGCAAGCAAACAGTATCGAGCTGTCGGGAGCTAAGACGATTTACACTAGGGAGCTACTATACAATACTATACATCATCTCAGTTTCTCGAGGATCTCGAACAGATCGAATGGTTCATTGCCAGATTCTGGGAGATTCAGGAATCCATATAGATGCCAAGTCGAGTTCAAGAAACTTGTCGTCAGTTAAATTGTCTAGTGAACTGTCTACTGCGAGTTTACACCATAGGTACTGCCTATTAGCAGATGCCCTATACCTATAATGACCAATGATCACCAAACTTCAACTTGTTATCAACTTCTACTTGTGATTTCTTGATGTCATGAGCTGATTCGCCTTCTTAATGGGTCTCAGGTTCTAGTTGGTTGCCATGTCTCGCATCTGGAGGCGGGATCTCCTATACGCCTAATCAATCCCGCCTTATGGTCGTAAGAAAGTCGCGCAAAGCTGAAGAAGATCTTTCAACGTCAAAAACTGCTCCCACGTCTCCGCCCGCCACGGTCTCGACGTAATGCTAGCCGAGCTATTAGAATGCGCCAACAAGATCGAGAATACATAGTATGTATGATCCTCTTCGGCGTCAAGCTTAGTCTTTGTTAGCTCGCGTAGGTCATTCTTTGATCCTCGGCTGATGGGTACTGATTGATAAGATAATTTTTACTAGCGTCCCCGTCCTTCCTGCACTGGGGTCCCATTCGATCGGCTAGTGCCCTAATCGAGTTTGGTTCAACCAGGTCCCTTGAACGTTGGTGGGTCGCTAGCTGACCTGGAATGCCCGAGGAACCTTCCCTCTTCGGAGTTGAATTTTTTTCACGACTGCTTTGTTCAGGCTTCCCTTCTCAGCTTAATCATAAGTACGGATGATTTATGGTATGATTTTACGTAACCTACCTTGATCTTTTCAGAATCGATCAAAATGGAGCAAAACAAAGTAGAATTCAAAGGTATCTTTAATATTTCCTAACCACGCTATCTTATTAGCTTCGAAGTAGCGTTCGGTAAAGTATACCCTTCTGGGTATGGGATTGCTGCTTGGTCGTTGTTTATGTATTTTTGAATCTCAAATCATGGACTATACTACGTAAGTCTCTTAATCACTTCCGGACATGCCATAGCAGCCATCCTCCGCTCTACTTGTGATACTATACCCCACTCTTTTAGTTACCTTGTTATACTCATAGTGGCATGGCCAGACCCAGAGATCAAAGTTAGCTAGGGTACTTCCCACTTATCAATCTCCGGTACGGTAGGAGCGCCTATCTGATCAAAACGCCCATCAGATAAATAAAAGGATAGGTTAACCACCCCAAGATCTTTCCCTTTCATTAATCCAGCCAGCATCGTTGCACCTCTCGGCCGAGAATATATATCTCTCTCTATATATATCATTACGTATATATTAGAGTAGATAATAGCTCATCACTTGGCGTGCATTGCAATCGCTTAAATTGCTGATCGCCGCCTACGCTACCACAGGATTGCTCGAATTCAATAGCCACAATGAGAGGTCCGCTCGCTCGGTTCACCCACCCTACCGAGGTGCCGGTGGAGGAGAAATCCAACCCGGCAAACGATAAGGAAGCTGGCGTCGTCGATAACCAACCCCGGAATGGTGAGACTGATACCGATGGCGACGCCATCGACAACAATGCTCAGGCCGGTGTCCAGAAAATCGAGGCCACGACCATGGTCTGGACGAGGTCTAATCTCATATTAGCTTATGTCTTGTAAGTTACTATTAGACTGTCTCTCTTATTTCCATATCTTATAGGTAAACTAATGATACATAGCATCTGGATTATCTACTTTGTCGACTCTATGCAACAGGGCATGGGGTCTCTTTTGACTCCCTATGTTACTAGCGCGTTTGCCCTGCATTCGTTGACTGCCACGACAAGCGTCATGTCTGGTATCTTCGGCGGTGTTTCGAAGCTCACTCTAGCAAAAATATTGGATATCTGGGGTCGACCTCAGGGTTTCTTGGTCGTGGTCCTTTTGATGACCGTCGGACTTGTCATGATGGCAGCATGCAACAACGTTGAGACTTATGCAGCTGCGCAGGTCTTCTATTGGGTTGGGTAAGTTACTAACCTTTCCGAACCCTTTTAGTAGCCCATGTATTTATTAACTTTCTTAGATACAATGGAGTCAGTTACTCCCTCTCTGTTTTCATCGCCGATACCTCGCACTTGAAGAACCGAGCCTTAATGTTGGCGTTCATCTCGTCTCCCTATATCATAACCGTATGGATTACCTCTCCCATGGCCGACAGCGTCCTATATGGTATTGGCTGGAGATGGGGATTCGGAATTTTCTCCATCATTACTCCCATCATGTGCCTTCCTCTATTCTTCTTGTTCACCTGGAACTACCAAAAGGCAAGGAAGGCTGGATTGGTTATCAGCACCCCGAGCGGCCGTACAACATGGGAATCGATCAAATACTACTTCTGGCAGTTTGATGTCATCTGCCTCATTCTTCTCACGGGTGGTTTTGCGCTCTTCCTGCTTCCTTTCAATATCTACTCCTACCAGTACTATGGCTGGAAGGACCCCTTGGTCATTTGCTTGATCATATTCGGTGGACTGCTTCTCATCGGAGCTGTGGTCTGGGAACGATTCTTCGCACCAGTCAAATTTATGCCTTGGGAGCTCCTCAAAGATCGAACTGTCCTTGGAGCTTGCATTCTTTCTGCTGTTCTCTTCGTCGAATATTATATCTGGACTGCCTACTTTAGCTCCTTCCTCCAGGTTGTCCTCAACCTCGATGTAATCCAAACCGGTTACGTCGGTAATATCTACAGTCTTGGATCGTGTTTCTTTTCCTTCATAGTGGGTTTTCTGATCCGCTGGACTGGTCGTTTCAAGTGGATTACCCTGTACTTCGGTGTACCGGTCACAATTCTCAGCATTGGCCTACTTATTCACTTCCGACAGCCTGGTACCTACCTTGGCTGGATTATCATGTGCGAGATCCTATACGCCTTCGCTGGTGGTGCCTGCGTTATTGGCGAGCAAATGGCCGTCATGGCCGCAGCTGCTCACCAACACGTCGCCGTTGTCCTCGCCATGGAGGGTATGTTCAGTAGCGTCGGTGGTGCTATTGGAAGTACTGTTGCCGCCGCCATCTGGACAGGCGTTTTCCCCAAGGCACTGGCCAAATACTTGCCTGCGGAGTCTCAGGCAGATCTTGCAAGTATCTACAGCCAACTTCCGATTCAACTCTCGTACCCTGTTGGTTCGGCGACTAGGGATGCTATTGTTCTAGCCTACGGTGATGGCCTAAGGTGGATGTTCGTCGCTGCTACGGCCATTACTGTGTTGGGCCTTGTTGCTGTCGCCTTCTGGCGGGATATTAAGGTGAAGGACTTCAAGCAGGTCAAGGGTCGTGTGATTTAGAATCTATACATGAGGCCCGGAGCATTTGCTTTTCTAGCAATAATATAAAAGGGGTACAGCATATGGTTCAACGAGGGGATTCCGGTAATGGCATGGGTTGTGGTGTATTAAGAACCAGCGGATGAAATCTACGTGTAAGATGATGCGGCGATGTAGATATGGGATATGATGCCTGTTGGTTCACTGAATCACGCTCATCTCAAATGATTAATGTTCAATAAAGAAGATGTTTTCTAACCATGCATGGTCATGTACTTGTGATTGCAATTCTTATCCTTTCGTAAGAGATTCTCAGGAGTCTTGGTCAAACCAATTATGTTTATGTACTCCCATTCTAGATTTAAGTAGCATAACCAAAATAATGCTAATTTTAAGTTCTTCACTACAATATATAGAAAGCCATTAGCGACGGTATTATTTTTCAAGGTTGTAAACTCCTGTTTCTATTTTTTTTTTTTGTGACATCCCTTTAGACGTTGCTGATCATAGATGAACAACCAGTAGGTGGCCGGCTTAGAGGCTCATGGCCCTTGTGCTTCGTGCAACATCGGATATAAGTGGGGCATATACCTAGATCAGGCACTGCACTTAGGTACCTAGCCCAGTGTCTTGTCGGCTGGTTGCGGGTCGTTACGGGTGTCTGTGGGGTCAACATTACCTAAACTAAGCTTCAACTTCAACGTGAACATCAACGGAATCTCAAACCCCATTTGCCCATACTACAATCATCCATTATAAGTCCTGCTTCACTTATTTTGATTAGTACCTCGTATAAACCTGCAGTTCTGCTTCTTACTTCCAAGTTTCTCAGCCAATGCTTTAGGCGCACACTCTCCTACTTTTAAGCAGCATCTAGACAGCCTCAGCCGTAAAAGACATCGCTAGGGCTAGACAATATGCGGGAACTTTTCCTCACTGCAGCCGTCAAGGATTCAGACTTTGCAATGGCATGCGCAGTCTTGCAAGGCTTAACGTGGATGAACGCTCGTCACACAGTCCATCGTATTCTATTCTTTCATGGCCAACCACAACCGCAACCCCTCAAAGTCACGCGTGCTTTCCAACAATCACGCTTCTTACAGCTCTGGAAAGATCTAAGTAGCCAATTGAATCGGTCGTCATATGTTATTCAGCTGGCCTACGAACTTGTGCCGGATAGGGATTTCGGCAAAGAAACTAATATGGAGTTCAATGCCCTACCTGGCACTTTGCGGTGGACAGATCTACCAGACCCTCTTCGAGACACACCAGTAACACAAAGAAAGAAGATTGAGATTCCAGAGCAGAACGGTCTTCCCACAGCTCTTACTGACAACGGCTTCCAGTATGTTCTACATTTACATTGGCTGAGCAGGTAATGGAACTGGTACTGATGAATTGTTTTTAGGTACAAGAATGAAATCATTCAGGAGAGCTACTCTTTCGTCAGGGAGAATGTCGAATTTGTTTTCAGCAGATACTATCACCTCCCAGAATCGCAAGGGCGGCCACTGGCTGCTCTCCCTCCCTGGGCTGATCTTCGGCCAGTAGATCCAGCACAGAAATGGGTGTTGAATGTGAAACTGAATGTCATTGATGACAGCCAGCCGGAAAAGGTGAAGAAGGCAAATGGGGAGCTCTTAGTTGTGAAGGCAGAGCTTGAGAAGATATTTAATTTTAAGGCTATTGATAGGAGGGTCTTCGACACTAGGATTGCACCACCCCCTGTAATACCCGGTCGAGGATAGAACAGCTGGCAATGCTGTTAGTATAGTTATCAACCTAGTGTAAGAAGGTGTGTCATCCCGATGGCGACTAAGTCTGAGGTCCTACGAAGAAATACAAGATGGCTGGTACAGGTCATCGAGGTCATGAACCAGTATAGAGGGGTTGTGCTTTCACAAAAAAAGATAGGAGCAAAGGGTAGCAAGGATATAACAGACAGACGCCAATGCAATGGCCAGATGTACATGGCCATGTGGTGTTAATACATAATTACATCTACCTAAGGTAACTTAACATTTCCCCAGGACCTGGCCATCCATTTCAATGGGGAAAAGCATACCCAACAAAGGAGTCATTACGTATATGTACATTCATGACCACCAGTATGTATCTACCTAGGTAGGTACGCAACCTGAATTAGGAGCTCAAGGCGAAACAATGTCGTTGTCCTGTTAAATTCATGTGGTGACAACTTCTATATCAACAGAAACACGATTCAACGGGACATTGTTTTTATATTGGAAGTTCTGATTACTTAGTATCGAAGTTACTGCGATTAAAGATACATAGATAATAAACTGTGTGCTATCTCAAATTTCTCTGAAAGACACGTCAGGCTGTTGTACTGTGCATTCGTACCTGCCCTAAGTTTGTTGTTAACAGTTAGCAATCACGACTCTAGACCTTGCTTCATTGCTTCCGTGACAGAGGAACGTACCTAAGTAAACACGCGCTAGTTGGAGGTATATTTCAGTGTCTACCTAATTTCAGGTAAGAACGATAGGATGGTATTTCCTTCTTTCTGTTAGCAGGTGGTCCACGTCCCGACCGTGAGTCACGGTTATAGCATCAAGGGAAGGAACGAGGCCTCAGGGCTAAGTATATAAGCAGACAGGTCCCGTAGTCCGGGAATCAACAACGCTTCCACACTTTCTAAGAATCGGCAGTCGCTCTTTCTAATATCGTACTTATCGTACTTACCACCTGGCCGCCAATATATAAACTCCCCACAGCAGACAATAACTTCCTAAGGTATTTACTTCCTTAACAAGTTTCTTACAGCTTCCTGACCCTAACCAAGACTCTTTTCCCTATTCCTAAGTCATCTCAATTGGTTAGGTTTCATCGACCTTACTGATTTATTCATCTTGTCTAGATCATCTTGATAATATCTTCACTGATCACAGGCCGAGATGTCTTCCCACAACAATACCAACGGCAACACCAGCAATGGGGAGCGACCGGCTACACCTCCGGAGACCGTTCAACCGGAGACCGTTCAACCGGAGACCGTTCAACCTTTCCCCTACTATGATTCCAAACAAGGTCACAACAACTACCCACCCTACCCAATTAGACCGCCACAGAGCTTGAACCCTACCAATCTACATACGTATCCCGTATGGGCGAGTCGACCTGGTATTCCTCTGAAAGGGCCTACCGCTTCACACTTCGGGCAGGGACAGCAAGTTACCGGTGGGTTGGCCATTTCAGGGTCGGTTCCATCAATCCAGGCTAACAAGTATCATTTAGCACCACCGCCTTCAGCACCTGTGGCGCCCGAAGCGTACATGGGTCCACCATTATCAATTTATGGGAACTTCAACACTGCCTCTCAGACACCTTATGGCGCTCATACATCCCCTTCTCGCCATCCTGAGACGATGCCAAATGGTACCATGAGCCCTACAACCCCTCGAGTTGTCCTTCCACCTCCTCGAAGACACCAGCACCACCCCAACTCGCAGACGCCTACTCACCGCCGAACTGGAAGTGGAAGTAAAGGTAAAGGCACTGCATTTCCTCCTAGCTTTGTCCCCAGCAGTCGCCAGATAATCACCGATCCGCGCCAGACCGTAGTCAGCAGCCCAACATTCAATAACTACTATCTTCCTATGCAGGCACGAGGCCATCAGAATCTCTACCAGGGACAGCAAATTCAAATGCCGCAGCCTCACATAGGTAGTACTGCTCATGCTGTGACTCCCCAGGAACCGAAGCCGCCGCTTGACAGACACGCCCGCCAGAGAATCCTTGACGAGCAAGCCAAAAGCTTTTCTGAGGAAGACGATGCCGCGTTCTACCCACACAAGGACTGAATGTTACGGAGAGAAATTGGTAGGGATGGGGCTCTGCATCCCGATGATATTCCCCTTTCACTCAAGGGGTTCATGACTTGGGGGGGGGCAGAGTTTTTTGGGACAGGAAAATCTTGAGAAAATGCAGAAAATCAGAAAGATTGAGTTGTGTTCATGCGAGTCCACTTTGTAGTGGCTGCAGCCCAGAAAGGGGTCCATGGAGCAGGAGGGAATAAAACGGCAGGCCAACATTATCGCCGCAATACACCTCTCTGATTCTCATCTACGGGCTTCTATAAAATAGTTGGCCCAGGCCATGGTTTGCGCAGTTTTTCACATTTCGTTTAGGCATCTTAAGATGCACCATGCTGTAATTAGTTCTTTCATGGCCCATGAGGTTCATTATAGACAACGCAATGCATTTCTCTTTTCCACACTACCTTCGAATACTAAATGTGAAGATATTGAACGTTCAATTGCTCATAAAACTCTTTTTGTAATAACGTATTTCAGTTGAATAAGACTAAAGTCGCCCACGTACTTTACGTACGTATAATTCAGGGGCCTTTACTCCCCTTTTTCACTTTCTTTGCTTACCAGTAGGATCTAAGTTTATTATAGTGTCAACATCTACCTCAGGAATTCTAGTTCTTCCTAAGGAATCCCCGGTATTTGCTTCTCTACCTACAGTTTCGATCTTATCATAAATATGGATTGTGCTATCTGACATTCTTAAGGGGGACTAGGAACTTTTATATCTCGTGCATATATGACGTTTTATAATCGTCCACGGATTAAAGCGAAGTGGTGATGGGTGTTGTAACTCAGTCACTATATAGTAGGGAGGCAATAGCTATTATCACGACTGTATTTAAGGAAGTACCAAACCGAACAGCTCTAAGAGAGCATGTTACATTTATCAACAAAAACGAGGATGAAGGTTCCGTATCATACTGGTTCATAAAATATTGCCCCTATTATCTTTTCGTTTTTAGTGAGGATGTCGTACTTGTTATAGGAGTTAGATCCCTTTGTGTAATATAAAGAGAGCCTTAAATCATGCTGCAGTATCTTATGCTCTGAGTTCCTTAGAAAATCGCCATCGATAGGTGATAGCTAGAACAAGCCATACGCCCTCGCAAGCGTGGCACGGAACGGCTTAAAGCGAACCTGCGGCGCTTCAGGAGGCAGCCCCTGAATACTAGTATTTCACCGAACACGAACTCACTACGAGGAGCCAGCGGGAATGGATGGAACGCCATCATGTGTGCCCTTTAGGGTTGTAATTGTAGGATATTAGAAAGCAGAATATAAATATATGTTGGTCTTTGGATAGCTCTGCACGCCGCGCACCACTAGGGAGGTCTGCGAGGGCCTGTCCTTCCCCTTCGCCTCGGTGCTAAATATATTAGCGAATTGATAAACCAACCATCAATGAATGGTATGTTTCAGTTTTAGCTTCGTGGTGAAAATAAAAAATATTCGTTTATACTTCAGAGAAGATAATATCGAAATTCCTAGAAACTATTCAGTCTGGATATCATGAGGTAGGCCTAAAAGACACAGAATGCGACTTCGTTGTTCCGTAAGGAACCCTAAACCTAAGAGGTATTTATGAAAGCTCGTAGCTATACATTAGGTGCTTAAAGAAAATATCCTTTGTTCTGGATCTCTCCATCTAGAATTCCTAACAATAGGCTTCCTAGTAGTTCCTAGACATTAATAAGAGGCCTTGGACTGTTGCTCAAAGTATATTCTACTTTAATCTATGTGTTGGAAACTATTTGGGGGATTCTTCCACGCTTTCTAAAGAGATAAATTCCATAGGCACGGAATAACATAGCAATATGATTACAATAAACTGACTCTATTTTACACTAAACGGTCCCTCGTTTGATAAGACATATTACGCACCTAAGACGTTGGCTGCAACTATCTAGATAGACGCCACAAACGTACTGAGTAACTATCATGAATACCAACTCGAGTTTTTTTGCTGTTAGATATTGACGCCAAGTAACACTACCCATAGAGACAACTAAGTAGGCTATTAAAACTGTCTTACTGCTCGTGTTGGTTTATCCAGGAGACCCGCTGGTTACAAAGCTTTAAGCTGACTCATTGCAATCAAATGTACAACGTAGTCTTATTGGGGGCTGGAATGTTTGTTGGACAAAAGTCGATCAATATCTTGGCTTACCCCAGGTGTTCTAACATTAGCTTTCGTAGTGAGGCCCTCCTCACAACTAAGATCGATCGACAGCGGTTAGCACAGGATCTGCTCCGCGCTCACCGGTATTTTTTGGATTGGTCCAAATTCGAGGTACTTGGCCTTGAAGTACCTACTAACTACCAACAGTATTCGGGAATAAACCCTGCCTGTAACATACAAGCTCATTCGACAAGGGGACACCACATCCCGTTCTTCGGTACCAGTATCAGGGCAGAATGTAGATGGAGCCATGTATATCGCTACTGGAAGATCCCTGAAGCTCCTCGGCCGATACCGTGAGAAGGTTATTTGCAATTTCCTTAGCAGCGGCAGAATTACCGCCGAGTTTGAGATAATCTACTAAACTTGGGACCTGCGCCCCTCTCCCCCCAACAATGGAACAGGAGCGAACCGTAGAATGATAGAGCCTGGGAATTTCATCTGATGTTCCCCGCCTCTTCGCCTTCGCCTACATCGTGCAATGCTAATTACCCGCATCTGGCAAACTTGAGACGGCCGAGGAGATATCTAGAATCGTGATGAAAAATTAGGTAGGTCGATAGACGGCACAGCGACGCTTTCGAGTGGAACCCGTCACTCCCAAAGTAACAGATCACCCTACAGTGTTACATGGGAATTTAACGTATGACGCCTTTTTAGGATGTCGTGCCGCTCTCATGCCGCTAGCTTCCTATAGCTTTGACGTCTGGGGAAGGGTAATCATTACACTGGATATGATAGGTGGGTATACGCCTTACAGTTATTAACCTCGTGGCTTTGTGCCGCATTATATGAAACACTTCGCTTTGTAGATAGATTCCGTACGAGCATGGAAGAGTGTCTAGGCTTTACATTTAGGTTCGATCCAGCCAAGGAGAGATCTGGACTAATGCATATTATTGGTTCCTGGTTACGGTAATAACAGACTTTTCTGCAAGGAGAGTCTCAAAGTCCCATACATGAGTGGGAATGACATAAAATTCCCATTAGAGATAGCTTGGCTAGTCATGAGGTAAATCTTTTGCATATCAATTAACCTAATGTACTATAATAAACCTGTTTATATAAGAAACACTGGTAGCCTGATGCTGTGAGTGACACGACTACATAGTAAGATGATGAATCACAGCGCCTATATTTTAGTCCAAGGATCTACCCTACAATTTAGGCATGGCTGTACTTTTGCAATCTACATAATATCGATACTACTGTGAAACGAGTGTTGGTGATGATAAGCTAAGCAACATTAAGGTGCTTTTACATATCATAACCCCTGAGCAGTATGTACCTATATAACTCCCACCTTCTACCCGCAACTAGTCACTACCAGGGGTCGAGGATTCCCATCCTTTAACGGCCAGAGACGTGGTAATAGCCCCGCTTGACGTGCGTAACATAACCGACGACCACGATAAAACCACCTGCCCACCCTGCAGCCGTACCTAGCTCCGAGCACAACTGGATATCTAGGGTTTCATGGATTCTTAAGATAGATCAAGTACCTTCTCTTTGTTGTGGTTCGGAATCAAGTCCCGACATATTGCGTTGAAGTAGGGGAAAGACTTTGCGAAGTTTCTCTTTCGGCGTACACACGACTTACTATACGAGTTAACTCAAGAGAGAGGAGGGCTGAACAGTCCCAGGTCTAGCAAGCAAGGCAATGGCAAGTCCCGCTAGAACTCTCATGTTCCTCCTCTTCCTTCGATACATCCTGTTTACTTCCTACGCGGCCAAATCAAACATATGGTTCTTTGGAGCCCCCTACCGGTTCCCCCACATTACCCTACGGTTATTGCTATGCAATGCGTACGCTACAGGTCTATATGCGTATGTATGTGTAACAATAACTCCAGAGATCTATCGGATAGCAGATCATACTACTACGTTTGTATAACTCAGATACCAGCAACGGGCAGAAAAGTAGCTAAGCTAAACTCAACTCGGCTCGGTACGGGTTCGTACTTGGAAAAACGGGTAGATATCGGCCAGTGCCAACGCTACCCGGGATTTCTACCCGGGTTTAAGACATGGTTTGTATTGCATATACATAGGTAGGTATCTGCGTGGTTGTCCGTGCTTTCAACTTTCTCCTTCTAGGCTAACGAAAAAGAGAAAAGAAAGTTACTCCTCTTCTCTAGAACGAATTCGGCATTCGGTCTAGGTAGGCTCATGTCCCTGCCTTAGGTACGCATTCCTCCTATCCCACTCGGGACACTTCGTTAAGGGTGTAAAGCAGCAGTCTTTTGGTGCGGTATGCGATAGGAGAGGGAAAAACTGTCATTCGGCCGACCTAGGGCTCAAGGCCCTGGGGAAGACACTAAGAGGGTTTCTGGGTCAGGGATGACGATCCTTTTGCCCACCTACGCGCTACGGCGCAGCTGGTACAGCGTTGTTTCTAGACGTGCGCTCTGCCGTTGTTCGCATGGCTGCATGGACTTTCGTGCTACACTATATTGGAGCACATGGAGCATATGGCTGGCCACTGGACTGGCCGAGTTCAGCTCGCGGAATCCTTTTTCGTTATGGCGTCCTCGTCATCAAGTTCGGCCGTTCTTTGATTATGCGTTCTCATGTACGATGATGCAGAAATCACTCATCCAGCTAATCTTAATTACTTGTTCTCAGAAGGAATAGGATTTATCATTGTTCAAGACGTACAAAACCATGCGAAAACGGTCCATTTGCTATACAAAGCTCATCAGCTCCCAAACGTGGTATCATTCTTCGTCCTTAGGCCATTGCCGATGTCCACCTATCCACCTATCCTATGTATACTAAATTATGTATTATTCGATCCTCTAGATAATAC